AATGAATATTTAAAAAAATGGTAGAAGTTAATAGCTTTTTAAAAAGTTTTTATTTTAATTCCAGTTAGTTAATATACAGTGTTATATGAGTTTCAGGTGTACAATATAGTAATTCAGCACTTCCATACATCATCCGGTGCTCATCACAAGAAGTGTACTCCTTAATCCCCATCCCCTATTTCACCCATGTCCCCACCCACCTTCCCTCTGGTAAACATCACTTTATTCTCTATAGTTAGGAATCTTTTGGGGCGCCTGGGTGGCTCAGTCAGTTAAGCATCCGACTTCAGCTCAGGTCATGATCTCACCACTTATGAGTTCGAGCCCCGCATTGGGCTCTGTGCTGACAGCTCAGGAGCCTGGAGCCTGCTTCGGATTCTGTGCCTCCCTCTCGATCTGTCCCTCTCCTGCTCACGCTCTCTTTCTCTCAAAAATAAATGTTAAAAACAAAACTTGTTTTTAAATTAAAAAAAAAAAAGAATCTGTTTCTTGGTTTGCCTCTCTCTTTTTTTTTCCCTCTTTGCTCATTTGTTTCTGAAATTTCACCTATGAGTAAAATCATACGGTATTTGTCTCCGACTTCTTTCACTTAACATAATACTCTCTAGCTCCATCCACATTGTTGCAAATGGCAAGATTTCATTCTTTTGGGTGGCTGAGTATTACTCCATTGTATATGTATGTACCATGTCTTCTTTCTCCATGGACATTTGGGCTGTTTCCATAGTTTGACTATTATAGATAAGCTGCTATAAACATTGGGGTGCTTGTGTCCCTTTGAATTAGTATTCTTGTATTCTTTGGATAAATACCTAGTAGTGCAATTGCTGACTGGTAGTGTAGTTCTGCTTTTAAATTTTTAATTTTTTCTAGAGACAGCACAAGCCAAGCCAGGGAGAGAGAGAGTTTTTTAATTTTCTTTTTTAATGTTTGTTTATTTTTGAGAGAGAGAGAGAGAGAGAGACAGAGAGTGCTAATGGGGAGGAGCAGAGAGAGGAAAACAGAATCTGCAGCCATCTCCAGGCTCTGAGGTGTAAGCACAGAGCCCGATGCAGGGCTTGAGCTCACAAACCATGAGTTCATGACTTGAGCCAAAGTCAGACGCTTAACCAACTGAGCCACCCAGGCGCCTGAGAGAAAATCTTAAGCAGGCTCCACAAGCCTGATGCGAGGCTCAGTCCCACAACCCTGGGATCATGACCTGGGCAGAAATCAAGAGTTGGATGCTCAACTGACTGAGCCACCCAGGCATCCCATCTATTTTTAAGTTTTTGAGGAACCTCTATACTGTCTTCCAGATTGGCTACACCAGTTTACATTCCCACCAGCAGTGCACGAGGGTTCCCCTTTCTCCACATCCTTGCTGTTGTGTTTGTGCTTTTGATTTTAGCCTTCCCGACAGGTGTGTGGTGATATCTCATTGTAGTTTTGATTTTTTTTTTCCCTGATGATGAGTGGTGTTGAGCATCTCTTCATGTGTCAGTATGTCATCTTTGGAAAAATGTTCATGTCTTCTACCCATTTTTTAATTGGATGGTTCATTTCTTGGGTGTTGAGTTTTACAAGTTTTATGTAGTTTGGATACTAACCCTTTATCAGATAGGTCATTTACAAATGTCTTCTCCCATTCCATAGGTTTGCCTTTTAGTTTTGTTGATTGTTTCCTTTGCTGCGCAGAAGCTTTTTATTTTGGTGAAGTCCCAATAATTGATTTTTGCTTTTGTTTCCCTTGCCTCAGGAGACATATCTAGAAGTTGTTACAGCCAATGTCAAAGAGGTCACTGCCTGTGTTTTCCTCTAGGATTTTTTATGGTTTGAGGTCTCACAGTTAGGTCTTTAATCCATTTTTAATTTATTTTTGTGTTTGTGTAAGAAAGTGGTCTGGTTTCATTCTGTTGCATGTTGCTGTCCAGTTTTTCAACACCATTTGTTGGAGAGACTGTCTTTTTCCCATTGGATATTCTTCCCTGCTTTGTCGAAGATCAATTGACTTTATAGTTGTGGGTTCACTTCTGCATTTTTCTGTCCTGTTCCCTTGATCTATGCATCAGTTTTTGTGCTAGTACTATACCTTTTGATCCTTTGTTCATAACTTTAAGTCTGGAATTTTGACGCCTCCAGTTTTGCTTTTCTTTTTCAATGTTGCTTTGGCTATTCAAGGTCTTTTCTGATTCCATGCAAATTTTAGGATTGTTTGTTCTACTTGTGTGAAAAATGCTGTTAGTATTTTGGTAGGGATTGCATCAAATATGTAGATTGCTTTGGGTAAAAATTTTAATAATATTTGTTCTTCCAATCCGTGTGCATAGAATGTTTCTCCATTTCTTTGTGTCCCCTTTAATTTATTTCATCAGTGTTATATAGTTTTCAGAGCAGAAGTCTTTCACCTCCTTGATTAGGTGTATTCCTAGGTTTCTTAATATTTTGGTGCTTTTGTAAATGGGACTGATTCCTTAATTTGTCTTTCTGCTACTTCATTATTTTTGTATAGAAATGCAACAGATAGTCTGTATGTTCATTTTGTATCCTGTGACTTTACTGAATTCATGTATCATTTCTAGCAGGTTTTTTGGTGGAATCTTTAGAGTTTTCTTTGTAGAGTATCATGTCATCTGCAAATAGTAAAGTTTTACTTCTTCCTTGCCTGTATGGATGCCTTTTATTGCTCTTTGTTGTCTGATTGCTGTGGTTAGAACTTCCAGTACTGTGTCATACAACAGTGGTGAGAGTCCCTGTCTTGTTCCTAACCTTGTTTCTGACCTTAGGGGAAAAGCTCTGTTTTTCCCCATTGAGCATGATATTCACTGTGTTACTCACATGTGGCCTTTATTATGTTCAGGTATGTTCCGTCTAACTCTACGTTGTTGAGGGTTTTATCGTGAATGGATTTGTACTTTGTTGAATGCTTTTTCTGCATGTATTTAGAATGGTCATATTGTTTTTATCCTTTCTTTCATTAATGTGTATCACATTGATTTGTGAATATTGAACCACCTTTGCAACCCAGGAATAAATCCCACTTAATTGTGGTGAATGACTCTTTTAATGAATTGTTGGATTTAGTTTGCTAGTATTTTATTGACCATTTTTGCTTCCATGTTTGTCAGGGATACTGGCGTATAGTTCTGTTTTTAGTGTATTCTTTATCTTTTAGTGGATTCACTATCTGTTTTTTAGTGGATTCTTTATTCTTCCCTCATAGAATGAATTTGGAAGATTTCCTTCCTTTTCTATTTTTTTGAATAGTTTTAAGAAGAGGTATTAACTCTTTTTTAAATGTTTGGTAGATTTGGGGTACCTGGGTGGCTCAGTTGGTTAAGTGTCCAGCTCTTGATTTCGGCTCGGGTCGTGATCTCACAGTTTGTGAATTGGAGCCCCACATGGGGATTCTCTGTCTCCCTCTCTCTCTGCCCCTTTCCTGCGCTCATTCTCTGTCTCTCTCTCAAAAATAAATAAACAAACTTAAAAACATTTTTTTTAATGCTTGGTAGATTTAACTCTGAAGCCATCTGGCCCTGGACTTTTGTTTGTTGGGAGATTTTGATTACTGATTCAACTTCTTTGCTGGCTGTTAGTTGGTTCAAGTTTTTTGTTTCTCCTGTTTCAGTTTTGGTAGTTTATATATTTCCAAGAATTTATCCATTTCTTCCAGGCTGTCGTAGTATTCAAATAAATGCAAATTAGAATAATAACTCAAAAATTTTCAATTGTTAACTTGTTTCTCATGTAGGCAATTTTATCCTCTGATGCTTGCATTATAAATTGGTAATGACCTTTCTGCAGGGATGTTGACAGTACATTTCAGGAACCTTTAAACATGTAATGTACTTTTGGAAATCTGTCCTGAAACATATACGAGGTTTTCTTTGTGGTTTTTTGGCTTTTTTTTCCCTTTTAAGTAATCTACACCCAACATGGGGCTCAAATTCATGACCCTGAGTTCAAGAGTCACATGCTCTTTGGACTGAGCCAGCTAGGTCCCCCTTATATACACAGTATCTTATGCATAATGAGTTTATTTACCAAAACATTATTCATTACAATGAAAATGGAGTCCACAAAGGGACTGTTTCTCAATTAAAAATTATGGTTCTCAAAAAAGTACAGGTATTATGAGAGGTCAGCAACAGATTGTGCAGTGAATGCTTTACCTTTTTTAATTAAAGAACAGAAGGTGGAAAAGTAGAGTTAGTGAATGGAAACTTGAGTTTGAGCAGCTTGGCTCTGAAAGGGAGATAGGAAATGGGGAAAGTAAAGTAGTATAAAGAGAAGGAAAAGAATAGAAATTGGAAGATGTTTATAGACTACAGGGAAGAAACCAATAGGGACATAAATATTTTAGGTATTTGTGTGGCAGTGTGTACTTTTCCTTTAGGCCACAGTAAATGTTGAAAATAGTTGGAGATCCTTTTAAGACTCAGACCACCCCCAGGGCGCTTGGGTGGCTTAGTCAGGTAAGCATCCGACTTGGGCTCAGGTCATGATCTCACACTATGTGGGTTCAAGCCCCGTGTCGGGCTCTGTGCTGATAGCTCAGAGCCTGGAGCCTGCTTTGGATTCTGTGTCTCCCTCTCCCTCTGCTCCTCCCCTGCATTATATTTATATATATATATATAAATGGCTCAGACCCACATAGTAGTGCCTTGCTTAAAAACTCTTCCAGTTTATTTGTTTTTGATGAGTGAGAAAGACAAAAAGGAGAGTGAGAATGGGGGATGGGAAGAAAGATGAAGAGAGAGAAACTACCTTATAAACTATGAGGATGTCAGTCGTCAAGATTAGCCTTTGGGGAACTTTAAAGGGGAGTCTGATTGATGTCATCAAATCATATACATTCTTAATATCCATTTCTTTGTCTTTTTCCCCTCTGTTAGCGTATGGCTAATATGGTTTTCAACTAGATATTTAGTAATGATAATATATTTGTATTGATGCAGATGATGATCACGGTTTTCAAAAACATTAAACTGATTATTTAATTGACAATTTTTTCATTTAAGGGAGGAAAAGACTGAACAGTTGTTGGACTGTAAACAAGAACTTGAGCAAATGGAAATAGAACTAAAAAGGCTGCAACAAGAGGTTTGTACCAGAAACTTTATTATATAGGACCAGTATGTAATTAGAAATTGATTTTACTCCTTATAATTTATAGCCTTTATCTTAATGTTTTATGAGGTCACTGAGGCTTAAAGATGATTTTTCAGTGTTTTTCTGTTCTAAAATCCCAAAACTGGAATTCATAGTCTTTGGACTTTGCTTTTTCTTTATCAGTGCTGCTCATACTTTGCTAGAATTCAGAAGAAACTCTTAGGATTCAGGTAGTTCCAAGTTTCTCTTTTTATGTATTTGGTTTGTGTGGGCTTGGAAGCTAGAATAACCCTACTGTAAATTATGCTGCTTTATGTGTATCTCCCTAGGTCTCTGGTCTCTCTGATAGTTATGGTAACTTATATATGACACAGTGCTTTTTAATTTTTTTACCTTTTAAAAATTATTTTTATTTTACTAAAGCTTTGTGGTTTTTTTCATCTCGAAGCAAGATTGTTTGAGACTTCACTTTGGGGTGGGGGGGGTGCACCTGGGTTGCTTAGTCATTTAAGTGTCTGACTCTTGATTTCAACTCAGGTCATGATCTCATGGTTTGTGAGTTTGAGCCCAGTGTCAGGCCCTGCACTAACTGTGAAGCCTGCTTGGGATTCTCTTTCTCTCTCTCTCTCTGTCCCCTCCCACTCGCACTGTCCCTCTTTCTCCCTCTCTTTCTCTCTCTCTCTCTCTCTCAAAATAAATAAATAAACTTAAAAAAAATTCACTTTTTTAAATGTTTGTTATGTTTCATTTTTATTTGGTGGTAGTGCACAATGTCTTCTTTTACCCGTAAATGATAAGGATTGTGGTGAAGCTAGATAATTATTTCTTCTCCTTATTTCCCCTAACTTGCTATTTTTAATTCAGGGAATACTCCACTTGCAGGATCATAAACTTGGACCTTTATAGATGAATGAGATGGGAATCAAAATCTTCATTTCTAGATATGCTGTGGCTGCTATTCTGTTTCTTAATAGTATGGGTTTTTGTATGTGTGCTTACTGTAAAACAGTGAGTGGTTCTCAATCTTTTGGTCTCAAGGCTCTTTTCTCCTATTAAAAATTAATGAGGATTGTTTGATGTAGATTATATCTATTTTCTATATTTGAAATTAAAACTTAGAATTTGAAAAATGTTTATTTAAAAATAATTATTCCATGTTAACATAAAAATTACATGCTTATAACCATTATTTTCCAAAACAAAACAACAACAAAAAAAGAATGTTGGTACTCTTACATTTTTGCAAGTCTTTTTTTTTTAATCATTTTTGCAAATCTCTTTAATGCCTAGCTTAACTAAAAACTACTAAATTCTCGTATCTGTTTTTCGTTCGGTGTATTATCACATGCCATGTAGCCTCTGGAAAACTCCACTCTGCCCTCATGAGAGAATGACAGTGAAAAAAGCAAATAATGGTTTGGTGTTATTATGAAAATGGTTTTGACCTCATGAACATGAAACCCTTTCAGGGCCCCACAGATATCTCTGGAACATACTTTGATAACTTGTTTTAAAAGATTACGAGAGAGCTATTAAATATTGAATTTTAATACTTGTCTTAAATGTTATTAAGATAAACACTAATCATATGCAACTAATCATTCACTTGGAAGTTTTGAAAAACTCAGCAGAATTTTGGTAAATTATAATACATCTGGATGGAAACGTAATTTCTCTAAAGTAACTAATGACCAACTTTAGTAATACTGTTTGCCTCTTCTGTATTTTCATTATCCTGTATTTTAAAGTTAACTTTTACACCTTAAATTAATTGCAAATGGTTATGTTAACTAGAGGTTAACTTATTTGAAATATCCTCATATTTTTTACATTCCTAAATAATCATTACATAAAAATTTATATGTAGGTGTGTTTTTATTTGCATATGAATATATATTTTAAAATAATTTGTATTGATTTTTTTAAAAAAGACCTCATATGTCTCCCCATCCCATTTTATTTTATATATATACATTTTTTAACAGGTTTTAACTCGCTGTATTTTTCTTGTATAAAACTATGTGGTGGCCACAGCTGGAGCTTTGGTCCTCTGCATGGAGACTCTGATGTGGGTCTTCACAAAATGGTCAGTGAATTCCTGTTAGGGAAACTTGATGAACACAGTTTCTTTCCGGAGTTCAGGGTGACATAGCTGTAGGTCTTGGAAATGCCATCAGAAGTGGCCTTGGCGAAGTTGCCCAGCCAGGGTGACAGTGCAGCCTCTGGCCAAGGTATAGCATTGGTCAATACTGGCCCTCATCAACAGCTTCTTTTAAAATTCACACTTTTAAAGCATACAATTTGTTGGGTTTGTTTTTTAAATTCATTGAATTGTGCAACCAGAGATTATCAATTTGAAAATAGAAAATAAAATATTAATTGTTTATATTTAGAACATGAATTTGCTTTCGGATGCTCGTTCCGCTAGAATGTACCGAGATGAATTAGATGCACTTCGGGAGAAGGCAATCAGAGTGGATAAGCTTGAAAGTGAAGTCAGCAGATACAAAGAAAGACTACATGATATTGAATTTTATAAGGCAAGAGTTGAGGTATGTTGCATAATTTAAACCATTCACAATTATTTTGTTTAAAAGTTAAGTTTTTTCAAACTGCATGTAATAAACTTAAGGAACTTTTGAAATGTTGAACAAACTGTAAATACCTCTAGGTGCTTATCTTATGGTGGTAGATCAGCATATTGCTTATACTTGTAAAAAGGGATCTCTGGACATTATTAATTTTATTGAACTGTTCAAGTTCTTTCATTCTTTTATTTAGTCTTATAGGTAGGAAAGACTTGAAGTCCTTCCCTCACAGTCAAAATAAAGTATATACTTCTAATTTCAAACTTGTTTCTAGAAGCGAAAGCAAAGCATGTTTCTGATCACTGTTCAACTCAGAATGCTAAACTAGGATTAATGAAGGCACTCTCTCAATCTCTCCCCTAATAATATGTGTGTGGGTGTATTTGTGTGTGTGTGTAGAAAAAGACAATTTTTCTTACTTAATGGTTGCAGTTCAGTGTTACATGAAGTTGAGTTTGACAGCAAGAATTTGACAGTACTTGCTTCTACATTCTGTTTTTCTTTCCGAGTTAACTTCATTTCTTCAAACAGAGGAGAGTTTTATCAGTTTCAGTATGGTGATAAGAAGGAAGGAGTATGCAAAATCAAGAAGTGAGAACATTACAACAGAAAGTAGTTAGAACATTTTAGCCTGAAAGTTACCAGAAAATAGACCCAGTAGATAGCAAAGATAAGGTGCCTATTAATTCTTTGCCGTTTATTGAAACAATATATGCATGGCACTGTTAAGAGATCCTTATAAATGCCACTGTTTTAATGTACTTTCTTTTGACTTTAGTTTATAAACCACTAGCATATAGTTCAGCAAGACAGATTTGTGAACACATGTCTTCAAAACATATGTATGGATTTTAAGCGTTTTCTCAAGATGTTTATGTAAAATATTTATTAATAGAGCCTTAGTTTATGGTCTCTGTGAGTCTTAGCACAGGTCTTGGTATTTTACTCAAAAACCCAAGCCCTTTACTTTCAAGTTACACTTTAAGTAGAGAGAAATCTTTAAATCTATTTCAGCAAAAAAATTAAGCCCTGATTCTATGGCGATTTGTTTGTGTCTTGAATATCAGAGAGACTACTTATACTTAGTTCCTTATTCTTGTGACTAAAGGAATTTAAATGTACCCTGACAATTTTATGTGAATTGTAGTTGTGTTACTCATCCTAGCCATAAGTATTGAGTATTACGTTTGCATAATAGCAATAGCGTAATAAATTCTGAGGGAAAAAATGAAACCAGGAAAACATTAACTGTATCTCTATTTTCAGTAGCTTTTACTCTTGCATAAAGAACTGTTGATAGAGACAGCTTAATGTCTTACCTTACAATAAAGAATTTATGTTTTAGAGCTTTGAAAAATTAACAGATACTAATATATTTGTGATAAAGCCTATTTGAAATTTTTATAGGAATTAAAAGAAGATAATCAAGTTTTATTAGAAACAAAAACCATGTTGGAAGATCAATTAGAAGGAACTAGAGCTCGTTCTGATAAATTACATGAATTAGAAAAAGAGAATTTACAACTGAAAGCTAAACTGCATGATATGGAAATGGTAAGTAATGTAAGGTTGATCAGTTGCGTGGCCTCCAAGGAAATCTCAGATTGATCTGATTTCCCCATAATGACAACAATGGCTAGCTCCTGTGGCTTTAACAGAGAAGAGGTAGCTAAGTAAATTAGAAGCTTCCAATTCTGTATAAAAACAGGAGTAGTAAAAATTTCTGCTTTTGTTAGACATATTAGTTATTAATTTTGTCTTCTCCTTTGAAAACACCCTAATAAGTTGTTGTGTAAACATGCCTTTAAAATATAGAAGGAAAACAATTTGCTAAAATTTAGCATTAGGTCAGGTATCATTTATTATACCAGTAAATATATTAAAATATATGAAGAAAAGTTTTCAGTGTTCCCAAGGATCACTTTAAAAGGATATCAAAGACCTGGTCAATATAATGACTAGTATTAAGAATGATAACTGATTATTGCCTTCAAACTGAAAATTTTAAGGAACTCAAAATTTATCCTATATTATTCAGTTTCTGATAAATAAAAGTTATAAGTAATAGAACATATTTAGCTTGAAATTGTACTGTTTCTTAGCTTTCATTTCTTTTCCTACTCCCTGACAATAAAAAAGGAACGTGATATGGATAGAAAAAAGATTGAAGAATTAATGGAAGAAAATATGACTTTGGAAATGGCACAGAAACAAAGTATGGATGAATCATTACATCTTGGCTGGGAGCTGGAACAAATATCTAGAACTAGCGAACTCTCTGAAGGTATTCCCGATATTTTTTTAATGTAAATGCATAAATGAATGCATGAAGTTGTATTTATGCTTACATTTTTGGATATTTTATTACAATTTTTTATTTTCCCCAGCCGGAGAGGTCTAAGAGGCCAGATGTCTCCCTAGATAGTTCACAGAGTAGTATGTTCATGGCCGCATTCCTGGGTCTTGTCCTTATCTTTACACATCTTACAACTCAACTTTATGAGTGTAGTAACAGATTTGGTCAGTTTTTTAGGCACTGTTTCACATTAACATCATAGGAAGCTGAGATACCAAGTTTATTAACTTATTTTGAGAAATAAAGCCATCTACTTAATAGAACAGAAAAGTCATATTAGCTGGTCAGTGTGTTCTTTAACTATAGACAAACCTAAACAAGAAGTCAAAACATATTGGGAAGATTCTTAGGTCAGTATATAGCCAGAAGAAAGCAAGTTAAGGATCTTTATGGCTACTTTCATCAATATATGTACTCTCTCTCCATTTTAGCACTGTATCTACCAAGCAGTCCAGCCCAGTTATACCCTAGAGATAATGAAAGACCCTCAGATAAATTGTTAACTTTGTTCTTTTTTCCTTATTTGGGTTATAGCCTTCAGTATGCTGATACTGATTTACTTTATTGAAATTATGTCCAGGTCACATTTATTTGAATTAGATTCGTTCCAGAATTCCTCAGTTACCTAGTATTAGATTATTTCACCTGCTTTCCTTCCTTCCAGATATTTATTAAGCATCTACCATGTGTAAAATATTATATCCAGCCCTGTGGATATGATGCTGAGGTTGACAAGGTCTGAGAGAGCTTATAATCTGATATTTATAGGATACTTACTTCTACAGATGACCTATCATATTTTTTTACCATTAGGCTTTTCCTAATTTTACACATGAGAACCTAATTTCAAATTCTGGGACCCCCATGTAAATTGACTACACAGTAAGTGATGATATTCAGACTGTGAACTTGCTGAGATATATTACTTAAAATATTTGTGGAACTTTTTTATTGTATTTTTTGTGAAATTGAGTTATTAAAAAACAATTCAAACAAATGTTTTCTACTGCTAGTTAAAATTACTTTGTTAAGAGTTTCCTCATCAGTTATATGGGAACAATAAAATAGTATTACCTTGTACAGTTATTGTGAAGATTGAATTTGTTACTGCTTATGAAGCCATTAGTAGAGTACCTGGTAAATGGTAGTTATTTGAGTGTTTATTATTTTTATCATCGTTGTTGTCGTCATTGTCGTCATCATCATCATCATCATCATCATCATCACCATCACAGTTGTTTTGCAGTTCATCTTAGCTGGGGTCATAGATCTGAATATTTGTTTTAATATGGTGTGTTTTGTTTTGTTTTTTAACTGTACAAGAGAATTGCTTTCCAGAAAATCTGTGAAATGTGGAAAAATATAAAGGAAGAAATTAAAGTTCCTAATAATTTCTGAAACCCCTTTGCATTTAAAAAAATGGCCTCCAGAATTTTTCTACAAATAAATATTTTAGACATCATCAGATCAATTTGTATATACAATTCAGGTTCTTCTTTTCACCTAAGATTATAACGTAGGCATTTTTCCATGTTGTTAAATATGTGTTCTAAGGGGGCTCCTGGCTAGCTCAGTGGATAGAGCATGCAGCTTTTGGTCTTGAGTTTGAGCCCCACATTGGGCATAGAGATTACTTTAAAAAATGTTTGTAAGCATCCTTTTTAATTCTTTATAGTCTGACCTGAAGCATCTTTGAAATACAGTGATAGGGCACCTGGGTGGCTCAGTTGGTTAAACGTCCGACCCTTGACTCTGGCTCAGGTCATGATCTCATAGTTCGTGAGTTAAAGCCCTACATCGGGTTCTGCACTGACAGTATGGAACCTGCTTAGGATTCTGTGTCCTTTTCTCTTCACCCCTTCCCTGCTTGCCCTCTCTCAAAATAAATAAAAATAAACTTAAAAAAAAAGAAGAAACATGATAGTATTGAAAGTATTACTAAGGTATATTGAGTATCGTATCTAACAGATCATGAAGCAAAGTTTTACTGAAGAAGACTTGGACAACTAGTGGAATGTAAAAAGTCTGGGGCGTTGGGCTCTGTGCTACCAGGTTAGAGCCTGGAGCCTGCTTCAGATTCTGTGCCTTCCTCTCTCTCTGCTCCTCCCCCATTCATGCTCTGTCTCTCTCTCTCTCCTTCAAAAATAAATAAAAACATTAAAAAAAATTTTAATAAAAATAAAAAAAGTGACTATCAATTATACCAGCTTTTAATAAAAGATTAATAATATGCTAACTGGAACAAAAGCTAGAAGAACTGAGGCTTTCTTTGTTTACAGTCTGAGGATATTTTATCATACCTGATTTTGAAAAGAATGTGTGCTTGTGGGGATCTGGTGTGTGTGTGTGTGTGTGTGTGTGTGTGTGTGTGTGTGTGTGTGTGTGTTTCTTAATGATGGATTTCTGGGGCGCCTGGGTGGCTTAGTTGGCTGAGCATCCAACTCTTAATTTCAGCTCAGGTCATGCATGATCTCACAGCATGAGATCAAACCCTGCTTCGGGCTCTGTGCTAACAATGCAGAGCCTGCGTGGGATTCTCTCTCTCCCTTTCTATCTGACCCCCCAACTCGTGTTTTTTCCTCTCTCTCTCTCCCCAAATAAATAAATTTTTAAAAAATGACGGAGAATTTCAAACATACACAAAAATAGATAGACCTAGAATGCCTTCCTGTACTTCTCCATTTCCCTTCCTGAAATCTGGGGTTTCAAAGTGAATTCTAGGTATTATATTTCACTTTAAATCCTAATTTTTATATCATCAAATAATGAATCTGCTTTAGGGTTATTAAAAATAGTTATTTTGGACTTACATCATATATAGAACTAGAAACTGAGTTTTCTTATGTTAAAAAATGGAATTATGCTGAAATTGACTTAGAAATACGATTTTTTTGGCAAAATGGTATACATGTTTGTTTTTATACTCAAGTTTAGCAGAGATTCTTCGTTTAGAGAAAGACTTTTTCAAGGTAACCAGTATATACTGTCTTGCCTTTCTCAGAATCAGGATTAGGAAATTAGGATTTTTTTCCCCCTTAGACTGTCTTCCTTTAATTTTTGATATGTGGCTTGGATGTGCTTTATACTTCTTATTTGAATCACATGATATCTCTGTCAGACACACAGAGCAATAACCATATTTTGTACAAATAATCTAAGAGTTTTGTGGTTAAAATGGCTTGGGCATTGTCAAGCAGTTTCTCATGGAACTGGAACTGCAACTGTAGTCTGTTCAGTCTAAATTTTGTACCTTTTTTCCTCTAGAATGCTTGTGGGTACATTAAAAACTCAAGATTTACCCATCTTTTATCTATGTTTTTTCATTGTGTCTATCTTATATATAACTCTATAAATTTTTTATAAAGTTAAGGACCAGGTGATGTAGTGCATTTACACTCATTATTTTAAATAGTATTGAGTAAATATAGTTTTTACCAATGACAATATTTGTCATTATTATAGCACCACAAAAATCCTTGGGCCATGAAGTGAATGAATTAACATCAAGTAGATTATTGAAGTTGGAGATGGAAAACCAGAGTCTGACAAAAACTGTGGAAGAACTTCGGAGTACTATGGATTCTGCCGAAGGCAACACTTCCAAAATCCTGAAAATTGAAAAAGAAAATCAAAGACTAAGTAAAAAGGTAAATAAAAATTAATGTTTAATGTAATGTTGAATATATGTAAAGTGTAAATAACCCTGTGTTAGATCATTTATTTTCCAGTTTTTAATGTAATGTATTCTCAATATTATTTTAACTTATGGAAATTTTCAAACATATATAAATGTGAAGTGAATTAACTCCTATACTCATTCAACTTTAGCAATTATTAACTTACAGCCACTCTTACTTCTGCCCTTGCTTGCTCTCTTCACAACCAGTAGGATTTTGAAGTAAATCCTAGACATGGTATCCTTTCACCAATACCTCATTATATATCTCTAAAAAGTAAGGATTTTTTTTTTAAAAAACAAGAACAGTGACTTTATCACATTGAAAAATTTAATAGAGTTTGGTTAGCATTTCAGTTTTTCCAAGTCATTGGGATTTTTTTTTCGTTTTGTTAAAATATGAATTGAAATATATCAGTACATTCAATCTACTGATGTGTCTATTAAGTCTTTTTTTAGTGTAAGGTTAACTTTTTTCTAATTTTTTTAATTTTGGGGACATTGCAAGCAGGGGAGGGTCAGAGAGAGGTGGACATAGGATAGGAAGCCCTGTGCACTGACAGGCTGCCAGCAACTCACAAACAGTGAGATCATGACCTGAGTTGAAGTTGGACACTCAACCAACTGAGCTACTCAGGTGCCCAGTTTACTCCTTACATAGCAATTTTTCTGTTGAAGAAACCAGGTGGTTTTGTAGTTTTCCCACAATCTAGATTTTTCTCTGTGTCCCTTAGCAAGTTCTTTTGTTCCCTGTGGGTCTTATTTTATCTGTAGGCTTAATCAAGTTCAAAGTGAGTTTTTAGTGAGAATATTCATAAGGAGTCTATTTCAGTCATGAGGTACGTGCCTAATTGTCTCTTTTGTCATGTTGGTTGTCATGGAAAAGGTTTGCTTAGGGGTCCCCAGGTGGCTCAGTCAGTTAAGCGACCGACTTCAGCTCAGGTCATGATCTTGAGGTTCATGAGTTGAGCCCTACACCGGGCAGTGTGCTGACAGCTCTGAGCCTGGAGCCTGCTTCAGGTTCTTTGTCTCCCTCTCTCTCTCTGCCCCTCCCCTTCTCCCAATCTTTCTCTCTCAAAAATAATATTTAAAAACAAAATAAGTAAAATACCACCAAATCCTCTAAAAGTAAACAAAATAAAAATAAAAATTGGTTCAAAAAAACAACTATCCATTTACTCTCAGGAATTCTCATGGAAAAGGCAGGATGAATGTTTGATTCTTTTATTTACCAGTTTCCTGGTAATGAATTAGTTCTCTCCTATCCTCCTGAGATAATTAATGAGTGAGGTTTTTTTTTTTTACTGTCTTTATGAATTCATGGATTTAAAAATATTTGAAGTGTTTCAGCCTACTGCATTTGTTTTTCTAACTGTTCCACCTCTTTAAGCTACTTCCTGAGTCCCTGTGACACAATCTTAGCACTCCTTGTGAGCCTCTGTGCTTTTCACCGTAACTCAGTTCTTCTTAAACATTTCCTGCCCCCGATCTGGAAACAGCCATTTCTCCAAAAAGCCCTTGTTCCTTTTAGTGGAAAATGGTATTTAGAGACCACAATTTAGGCACTGTGAAACCTGAATTTGAACAAGGTTTTAGTTCAACAGAAATATTCCAGTTGGGCAACAGACCAAGTAATTTATTTTTGAGTATCTTTCTGCATACACACATATACCTATTGTAGATAAATAGAATCATATCATGACAACATACATGATATTTTTATCATGAATATCTCCTATCACATCTCCTTCCCAGTATGTGTTTCTGGGTCTTGGTCACAGTGAATAATACTGTAATAAATGTTCTTATACATAAGCCATTATGAATTTGTTATTTCTATATGTAGTCAGCCATGTCTGGTTTTTCTTTAGATTCTGGATTTCTAGATTCACTTATGAAAATCTCCCTAATCTTTAGATCGGTGGTTTTTGAACTATAGTATGCCTCAGAATCACCTTCAGGACTTGTTTAACACAAATTTCTGAGCCCCATACCCAGAGCTTCTGATTTGATAGGTTTGGGGTAGGAGCAAAGAATTCTCATTTCTAAGAAATTCCTAAGTGATGGTCTTCCTGCTTTGTTGGGGGGAAAAAAGCCATGCTTTGAGAACCACTGCCTTAGATTATGCAAGTAGACCTCTTGATTGTCTTGCCAGATTTTTAGTCTTTTAAGACATTTTTGCATCATTTTTTTGATAATTTTTTTAATTTAATTTTTTTTTTAATTTAAATCCAAGTTAGCATATAGTACAACAGTGATTTCAGGGGTAGATTCCTTAATGCCCCTTACCCATTTAGCCCATCTCGCCTCCCACAGCATCATCTTTTATCCATTAACCAAATAATCTTAATAAGCACTTTATAACCAGTATAGTATAAAAGTAAGAGTGAATTAAAACTAAATAGAACTTGGAACAGTTTTATTTTGGTTGTCATTATATATAATTGGGACTGGAAATTGTAATTTGATTTTAAAAGTAGCTTTGAATTCTAATAAAGTTTTAGTGATTCTAGCATTGTTTTATAAATTCATTGTATGAAAGGTATCTTTTGTAAACTAAATGTTTCACTTGAATTCCATCGATGTAAGACAACAAATGAGTTTAATTAAATAACTGTTACCCATATATTTCAGTCTTAAGTGGGAGAACCAGATCAGTAATAAATAGCTAAAAGTTTCCTGAACACGTCAAATTGAGTAAGTGGATAAGATTTGACTTGAGGGGCACCTGAGTGGCTCAGTCAGTTAAGCTTCTGGCTCTTGACTTCGGCTCAGGTCATGATCTCACGGTTTGTGGGTTTGAGCCCCACACTGGGCTGTCTGCACTGGTGGTGCAGAGCCTGCTTGGGATTCTCTCTCTCTTTCTCTCTCTCTCTCTCTCTCTCTCTCTTTCTTTGTGTCCCTCCCCAGCACAATGTGCACTGTCTCTTTCAAAAAAAAAAGATTTGACTTGATGCTTTTGAGATATTACTGGAATGTTGTCTTCCATATGTGGTTATCTTCCATTGACATTCAAATAGAAAAATTCAGGGGCGCCTGGATGGCTCAGTCGGTTAAGCATCCGACTTCGGCTCAGGTCATGATCTCGCAGTCTGTCAGTCTGAGCCCCGCGTCAGGCTCTGTGCTGACAGCTCAGAGCCTGGAGCCTGTTCCAGATTCTCTGTCTCCCTCTCTCTCTGTCCCTCCCCCGTTCATGCTGTCTCTCCCTGTCTCAAAAATAAATAAATGTTAAAAAAAAATATTTAAGGGGCGCCTGGGTGGCGCAGTCGGTTAAGCGTCGGCTGGCCCCAGATCAGGTCACGTCTCGCGGGTCGTGGACAGCCCCGTCAGCTCTGGGCTGATGGCTCAGAGCCTGGAGCCTGTTTCCATTCTGTGTCTCCCTCTCTGCCCCTCCCAGTTCGTCATGCTCTGTCTCTCTGTCCCAAAATAAAAATAAAAAAAAAAAAAAAAATATTTAAAAAAAATAAAATAGAAAAATTCAGCTTGCTTTATGTAAAGACTATTAAAATTCGTAGACTTCTTTACTATTCTTTTAAAAGACTTTTTCATGTTTATTTATTTTTGAGAGAGAAAGAGAGAACACAAGCAGGAGAGGGCAGAGAGAGAGGGAGGCAGAATCCAAAAAAGGCTCCAGGCTCTGAGCACAGAGCCCGACCTGGAGCTCAAACTCACAAACCTTGAGATCATGACCTGAGCTGAAGTTGGATGCTTAACTTACTGAGCCACCCAGGCGCCTGAGACTTTTTCACTGTTGATATAAGGATTTAAGTAATACTTAAACTTGAAGTGGAATATTTTATATAGCTAAATCTTTATTTTCTTTTATTACCTGATTTGAATATGTTATATCATAATGGGAAATCAATGGTTTGGCATAATTTAAACTGGAATTTGCTATTTTTATGCTTATTAACCACATACTTGAACATATCTTTGAAATGTATAATTGAAGATAAATTTAAACCTAGACTATAACTATAACATTTACGTGAGCTTTGTTCAGCTCTTTTTTTCTCTAGTATTATTATTATTTTTTCTCCCTCTTTCCTTTATTATTTTTTTTTTTTAAGTAGACTCCATACCCAGTATGGAGCCCAATGCAGGGCTTAAACTCACAACCCTGAGATCAGGACCTGAGCTGAGATCAAGAGTCAGACACTTAACCAACTGAGCCACCCAGGCACCTGTCTTTCTTTTTATTTTAAACGTAATTCCTTTCTGTTTCCTCATTAAACTTACCTTTTTCTCATCTTTTTTCATGTTTTTTATATTCTCTTCTTCCTTCTTCCCTAAAATTACTTGTCTGTGATTAAAATCTTTATAAATTTCGTCAAGCCAGGAGAGTCTTTCAATAAAATTTGCATAGTCTTCATATAGTATGTAATTATATATATAGTTGGGTTTATTTTTTGTATTTAGAAGTAGAAATGTGCCCTTCAGAGATGCAGAGGATAAGAAAGATAGTCATGTCTGCATATTTTATATAGCTGTTAAAATTAGCATGGAGTATTACTTGAATTTCTGTATTCAGTTCTTAAATTTCACCATTTGAGTATTAAAATTGTATTTTAGTTTTTATTCCAAGATTATCTTTTGACATGTTTCCTTTGTTGTAAAATATTTAATATTACATTGTTTTTTGATTTAATTTTTTCTAGGTTGAAATTCTTGAAAACGAGATTATTCAAGAAAAGCAAAGTCTTCAGAATTGTCAGAATTTAAGCAAGGATCTAATGAAGGAGAAGGCTCAACTTGAAAAAACAATTGAAACACTTAGAGAAAATTCAGAAAGACAGGTTCATAAGTTTCCTATTAAGCAATATATTTTAAATTCTCTTAGCAAGTTATTTTAATGTTTAGGTAAACAAAAATGTTCGTGTAACATGAAAGGGAAATAATTTTAGAATTGTTTAGATCTTAGAGTAACTGTGGTTTTCATTTTCTATCCATATACATGGGAAGGTTGAAGCGAAAGCTTAGAATTCTTAAAGTTGCCAGTATGTTTAATAATTATCTGGTATAAAATTTTACAATACCTGGATTTCAAGTGTCTGTAGAACAGGGCTGCAGATTATAAAGTTACTGTGTGGAATTGGGGAGAGATGCAGCTGTATGTATTCAGACCCTACGAAAGAGGGAGATGTGTTGGCAGCAGCCTTCTCTAGAATGCGTTCATATTTGCTTTCAAGTATTTATTGGTCATTCTCACTTTATGCTTTAGGAAACTGAGAACTGGGTATATTGAGTGAGTTGCTATTTTAAAGTTTCTGTTACTTTTTTAGAAGTAAAATGGTTTGTTTTTTATTATCCAGGTATAGTCCTTAGGCTACCTATAAAAATAAAGGTTTCCATAGAGCTACAGAATAAAAATTCTAGAGCTAAGCATGAATCTGTATTTTTACAAGGCTCTCAGGGGATTGTTTACCAAAATTAGGCCATGTCATAAAAAATTAGTTTTCAGGTATACCAGAGGATTTTGTGTTTTTTGATCTTTTTCAAATTAGAATTCTTGGGAGAATGAATACACACCCACATATATACACATAAAATATAGCAATATTTATCAAGAACCCACTGCGTGTATGCTTTGCAAAATTTATTTAATGAAAGTAAAAGCTTATAGTCATAAAGAGATATGTGTGTGTATTTCACCTATATTCCTATTTGAATTTGAAACATGTAACTATAAATAATCTGAAGATCACTTTGATTAATATTAAGTACAGTTCTCCTAACCATTTCTTTACATTATGAACTCCCTAAAGACAGAACTTTTATGACCTGAAAGTACATGTACACGGTGGTCTGCCAGCAAATATTTGTCACAATTAAAAGTAAGACATATTAGCACCCTTTTATGTTCTTATTTCATTGTTAGTTTTTTTGAAATGGAAAAACTGTAATTTAAAATATTTAGTTTATGCTAATTTATATTTTTAATTTTCTCCTTTGTTTTTTTTCAATTAGATTAAAATATTGGAACAGGAAAATGAACATCTGAATCAAACCGTGTCTTCTTTAAGGCAGCGATCCCAGATAAGTGCTGAAGCGAGGGTGAAAGACATTGAAAAAGAAAATAAAATTCTCCATGAATCTATCAAAGAAACAAGTAGCAAGTTAAGTAAGATTGAATTTGAAAAAAGACAAATTAGGAAAGAATTGGAACATTATAAAGAAAAAGGAGAACGAGCAGAAGAACTTGAAAATGAGTTGCATCATCTTGAGAAAGAAAATGAATTGTTACAGAAAAAGATAACCAATTTAAAAATTACTTGTGAAAAAATTGAGGCCTTAGAACAAGAAAATTCAGAGCTAGAAAGAGAAAATAGAAAATTAAAAAAAACATTAGATAGTTTTAAAAACCTTACTTTTCAGTTAGAATCCCTAGAAAAAGAGAATTCCCAACTAGATGAGGAAAACTTAGAACTGCGAAGGAATGTGGAATCTTTGAAGTGTGCAAGCATGAAAATGGCTCAGCTACAGCTAGAAAATAAAGAACTGGAAAGTGAAAAAGAGCAGCTTAAGAAGGGTTTAGAACTCATGAAAGCATCTTTCAAGAAAACAGAACGCTTAGAAGTTAGCTACCAGGGTTTAGATACAGAAAATCAGAGGCTACAGAAAGCTCTAGAAAATAGCAATAAAAAAATTCAACAGTTAGAGAGTGAACTACAAGACTTAGAGATGGAAAATCAAACATTGCAGAAAAACCTAGAGGAGTTAAAAATATCCAGCAAAAGACTAGAACAACTAGAAAAAGAAAATAAATCATTAGAGCAAGAGACTTCTCAACTGGAAAAAGATAAGAAGCAACTGGAGAAAGAAAATAAAAGACTCCGACAGCAAGCAGAAATAAAAGATACCACATTGGAAGAAAATAATGTGAAAATTGGGAATTTGGAAAAAGAAAACAAAACCCTTTTCAAAGAGATCAGTATTTTTAAAGAATCCTGCATTCGTCTGAAAGAATTAGAGAAAGAAAATAAGGAGCTTGTGAAAAGAGCAACTATTGATGTAAAAACTTTGGTTACATTACGAGAGGTAAATATAGTTACCTAAATTTAAGGAAAATATTTTTATATTTTTAATTCAAGGCATTGTTAAGTTTTATTGGAACCCATCAGAAATTTGCATCATCTGCTTATGGTTCAAAATAAAAATTGGCATTTAGAACTAGAGTTTCTAAATTTTCCTACTTTTGTTATACCAAGAAGTACATGTGAATTTTATTTTTAATATATTGTAGTAATAAGGTTTCCATGTGGTATCTCCTTTATTACATTATAATTTTATGTTTTATTTCAAAATAAAATATTTGGTCAAGACTGTTACTGAATAATAGGAACCATAATAGCTACTATTTATTGAATGCCAACCATGTACCAGGTACTGGGCTAAGGACTTCAGAAATTTATTTATATAATTTTTACAGTAATTCTCTATAGATGTTATGTCCAGTAGATTAGAAAGCATAAGCGACATTAAGTAACTTACTCAGGATCACTCAGCTAATGGCAAAGTTGGATTGCTGGATTCAAATCCAGATCTTTCAAACTCCACATCTCCATGAATTATGCTCTTAAGCCTTAGAATGCAAATCATATTGAACTTTAGGAGTCGACACTGCACAATTGGTAGTTGCTTAGATCTGTGTGTTGAGAAGAGTTGTGACATTTTCTGGAGTAGATTGGCCGTAGATCCAAGTGAAACATGGTGTAGATCATATTCATGTTCTTCATAGCATGCTTGGCCTTTTTTTTGCTACCCCTATGCTATATACTCTGTATGATAACTCTTTTAAGTTCAATTAAAAAGTTTCTTTGCATCCCGGCAGAACGTCACATTGGGAAGTCTGCCTTTCTGCTAAAGAGGCATTGAGAGGGGCCCATTATTAGCTTTTTGCTTTCTTCTTTCTGTTGTTGTACCGTCCTACAGACAGGAACAAGGTTCCTCATGTCTGAACTTCTAACAGTGTCCCCTAGTTCTTCAGGTCAATATGTTCTTCAGATCAATATGTTAGACCTCTTCCACTGGCAGAGGGATGCTTGAGGTGGGAGAAGGGTGTTGCATCCAGCATATATTCATAGAAATATGCACTAAGGTTCTAGCTTATTATTAAAAAGTTAGTAGATATGTGTTCTTTTTCTCACAGCTTTCAATCCTCAAGAGTTCACAAGTAAAGAGTTTTTCCTTTTAGTTTTTAATACAAAAAATTACAAGTAATATTAGCAAAAAAAAAAAACAAAAAAGGAAAACCATATTGTTTGAACTAGTTTATTTTTTTGCTTAACTACTTGTTAGTGATGAAGGAAAAATTCAACAACATTTCTGTTTTTCCTGGTTTGAATTATATATATGTATTCCTGGATAGTGGTAGTTACAATCGTGACTGAATTTCCTAGATGTTCATGGTCATGACACTTATGTGAGTCTTGCATTCCTTTCAAAATAAGGATTTGGTGTGTGAAAAATTGAAGACTCAACAAATGAATAATGATCTTGAAAAATTAACTCATGAGCTTGAAAAGATAGGGCTAAATAAAGAGCGACTCTTGCATGATGAGCAGAGTACTGATGACAGGTGAGTATTAAGTCTATTTGGCAAACAGTTTAAATTATTGTTATATTTTTGCTCAAACCTTCTCTCCTGTATCAGCTATAGAATATTTACATATGTCACCTGTTTCTGTTTCCTCTCTTCCCATAGAGAAAGTTCTATAAGAAAAAAAAGTAAAAACTCAGATAAACACAACCTAATACAAGAAAAATGCTAAAATGTTACTATAAATAGTTACATAATAGGAAAACAGGAAGCCACTCACGTAGCAGAAAAGCAGAAACTATAATTACCTATGAAAGTAGAATGAGACATTAACAACAAACCCCTCTCTCTTGAAATATAAAGTTAGTTTTTATTTGAATCATGTGCTTAAATGCCTCAATTCTTTCATTTATTTTGTGTGCAAAAGTGGACTTACAGAAAGGAGAAATATGAAACAAAGGAAAACATGCTGAGGTAACTAAGGTATAAAAATAATATGGAGGGGCTCCTGGGTGGCACAGTCAGTTAAGCATCTGGCTCTTGATTTAGGCTCAGGACATGATCTCGTGGTTCATGGTTTCGAGCCCTGTGTTGGGCTCTGTGCTGACAGCATGGAGTCATCTTGGTATTCTTTCTTTCCCTCTCTCTCTGCCTCTCTCTCTCTTTCTCTCTCGAAATAAACATTTAAAAAAATGTGGAATGGGCCGCCTGGGTGACTATTAAGCATATGAGTTTTGATCTTGGCTCAGGTCTTGATCTCATGGTTTTGAGTTCAAGCCCCATGTTGGGCTCCACACTGGGCATGAAGCCTACTTAAAAAAAAATAATAATAATGTGGAAAAGTAAGGTGAGAAACAATAAAACCTTACTTTATATGCCCTTTAATTTTGAGAATGATCAATATAAGGTTAAAAAAATTTATTCTCCTATGGTAATTACAATCTATCAAACAATCAGATTTTTCAAGTAGTCTATGGTTTAGCATCTAGTCAGCCATGTGATTCCAGCTAGACTGGAAGGATATATTGTTAAAAATACAGTTTTATGTAGACTAGATTTTAATTCATTGGAATTTTTGTAATAGAATTTGTATTTTATTGTCTACCCATTATTACTGTTATAGTATTTATAGTCTATATTTAATAATGTATATAGGGAAAATTAATGCTGTTATAAGAGATTTGTTTTTGTCATTTTGAAAATATTCAAAGTTAAGAATAGGTTGGTTGATGCTCATAGATTCTATAATAACGAATAGAAGTAATTTGAGGCATTAGTTCTAGCATTGAATTCAAGGAACTGTAATTGGATTAATCATACAACTGTTTCATGAGAAACTATTTTTTTGCCATTTTATTTTATTGCTTTTAATTTAATTTTTTTAAAATTGACATCCAAATTAGTTAGCTAGCATATAGTGCCACAATGATTTCAGGAGTAGATTTCTTAGTGTCCCTTACCATTTACCCCATCCCCCCTCCCACAACCCCTCCAGTAACCCACCAGTTTGTTCTCCATATTTATGAGTCTCTTCTGTTTTGTCCTCCTCCCTGTTTGTATATTATTTTTGTTTCCCTTCCCTTAAGTTCATCTCTTTTGTCTCTTAAAGTCCTCATATGAGTGGAGTCATATGATTTTTGTCTTTCTCTGACTAATTTCATTTAGCATAATACCCTCCAGTTCCATCCATGTAGTTGCAAATGGCAAGATTTCATTCTTTTTGATTGCTGAGTAATACTCCATTGTGTGTGTGTGTGTGTGTGTGTGTGTGTGTGTGTGTGTGTGTGTGTATATATATATGTATATATATATATATACCACATCTGCTTTATCCATTCATCCATCGATGGACATTTGGGCTCTTTCCTTACTTGGGCTATTGTTGATAGTGCTGCTGTAAACATGGGGGTGCATGTGTCCCTTCAAAACAGCACACCTGTATCCCTTGGATAAATATCTAGTAGTGCAATTTCTGGGTCATAGGGTAGTTCTATTTTTAGTTTTTGAGGAACCTCCATATTGTTTTCCAGAGTGGCTGCACCAGCTTGCATTCCCATATGAGAAACTATTTTTATTTGAGTTAAATAAATAGTTAAGGCCCAATTTAGTTGACTACTTCTTAATATAGATACTGAATATGCATCGCTTTTTTATTCAAACATTTATTACCTGTGTGTGTATGTAAGACATTTAAATAGTTGAGGGGAAAAAAACAGTAAACCATGTAACTACCCTAACCCTTTTAGAACCCAGTTGTAGGTGGGTCCTTCATATTGTTTGGTGGCTCTTTTCAAACCTTAATTCAAACAGCTACTCAATGTTAATTGAGCTCTTAAAATTTGTTGACCATCAAGCATCAAAGAAATGATAATGCTTCAGCTGAGCCATAAAGAATGACTGAAATGTGCAAGGTGGAATTGGTGGAGATGGCATTCCATGCAAATAAAGCACAAAGCTATGTTGAGAATTTTTTTTCTAATTTGAGAAAGAGAACCTGCAAATGGGGGAGAGGAGTAAAGAGGAAGAGGGGAACAGAGAGAGTCTCAAGCAGGCTCCAGCTCAGCACAGGCTAATGCGAGGCTCAATCCCATGACCCTGGGATCATGACCTAAGCTGAAAATCAAGAGTTGGGGACACTCAACCAACTGAACCACCCAGGCACCCCTTTTGAGTAATTTTTAGAGTGATGTGAAAGATGGATTAGAAAGGGGCACCTGGGTGGCTCAGTTTGTTAAGCATCCTTCTCTTGATTTCAGCTCACGTCATGTTCTCATGGTTCATTGAGTTCGAGCCCTGCATCAGGCTCTGCACTGACAGTATAGTCTCTTTGGTATTCTCTCTCTCCCTCTCTCTCTGCCCCTCCCCCACTTGTGTGTGTGTGCTTTCTCTCTCTCTCTCAAAATAAATATATAAAAAAAAGGAATATGGATTAGAAAAAGGGCAAATTAGAGTCACAGAGATCAGTTAGGAAGCTGTTGAAATAGGCTAGGCAAGATGTAATTGATGTGTTCATTAGTCTGCACATTTATATATATATAATGAAAGCATTAGAAATAGAGATAAAGGTATATGTTGAACTCAGTGTTTTAAGAAATGACGTTGAGACCATGATCAAATTTGGTAGATCAGGAAAAGAAGTGTCTTAAGCCACTAAACCAGCTTCTTTCTCAACCATTACATTAACCGTAGCATCACAAAGAAAAAAAAGTTCACAAACATAAATTCCTTTAATATTCTATCCCTTCTGTCTTGGAGTTTATGTATATCTGCCTCTGTGTTTACCTCTAATCTCAGATGGTATCTCTAACAGTCTAACCTTTTCCTCTTTCTCACTGGCATCATTCTCTCTGACCCTTTTAAGATATAATTAAGATATTATTCTTGCCATAAAGGAATAGGTAGTCTAAGTTATGGATTTATATGTACAAATAGGTAGAATGCAACAAAGTAAATTTAGTGATAAAGTTACAAATAGAGTGCTAAGTGATCACTCTTGTCTATTCTTTTTTAACAGCTCTTTTCCTGTGTCTCAATATACAGTAAAAGCTTGGTTTGCAAGCATAATTCATTCTGGAAACAAGCTTGTAATCCAAAGCACTGACATTTCAAAGTGAATTTCAAGAACCATTGGTTCAGTTGTGATCACGTGATGTTCGGCATCATGTACTACTTGTATTGCAAGACATTGCTCGTTTATCAAGTTAAAATTTATTAGAAATGTTTGCTCAGCTTGCAGAACACTTGCAGAACAAGTTACTCACAACCCAAGGTTTTACTGTAGTTTCCTAGGGTTATGTTCTCAGGCCTCTTTGTTGTGTATGCTATGCATTGCCATCCATCATCTTACCTGATAGTCACATTATTTTTTGCTTAGTGGACATCTCTATCTGGACAGTCTAGAGGCAACTCAGGCATCCAACATTAAATATATCCAAAGTTAGATTCATAAAACGCTTTAAAAATATCTGTTGACTCAAGCCAATACCAAAACGAGTGAGATTTGTTCTCTGTGCTCAGTGAACTTAAAAACTGATTGAGCAAGAAAAAAATTGTAAAACGTATATATACACACATACACACAAATTAACTACAGTAAAAGGCAGAATGTGATAAAATTTCTCATATATGTACTTATTTATTTGGTTTAGTCATCAAGGTTCTCAGGTATAAGAATTAGTCATAATCTCTAGTTTGTGATTCACTCTCAAACTGTGTTCATGCACTGTCCTTTTTGTAAAAAAAATTTTAACCACAGGGTGCCTGGGTGGCTCGGTCAGTTAAGCATATAACTTCAGCTCAGGTCATGATCTCGCAGTTTGTGGGTTCGAGCCCCACGTCGGGCTCTCTGCTGACAGCTCAGAGCCTGGAACCTGCTTCAGATTATTTGTCTCCCTCTCTCTCTCCTCCTCTGATCATGTTCTGTCTCTCTCAAAAATAGACATTTTTTAACTTAAAAAAAGTTTTTAACCGTAAATAATATAATTTTTTTATGAAATCACCATTCAAAAACATAACTAAAATACTGACATTTGCATTTGCCTCTTCCTGCTCTGTTACCAGTATCCAGTATCTTTGGTATATCATTCCCTTTCTAAAATATTCTGTAAGTACTCTGTACCCTTCCATGAGTTTTAAGCTTAACTATACCTGTCTTCTTGTACAAGTATCTTAACACATTCATATCATAGACAAATGCTTAATAATATAATAAACCCATCTACTTCTTTTCCTATGGATTCTATCCTTATAAAAGTAAAAAGAATATTTTGGGATTTACATCTTCCAGATGCCTTTTTTTGAGCATCAATTTTTGCTTTTGACAACCTAGGCTATAATCTGAAGCTCTGGTTACCTAGTTGATTTTTTTTTTTATAACCAGGAAGAGTTTAAAGGGGGGAGTGGGGCAATAGAATAATTCACCTCTTAAAAAAATATTGTTTCATAAGACCTCTTTATGGCATCAGTGTCTATGGTCATAATGATCTTTAAAAATAATTTTTGACCTCCAGTGATGAACTATGTTATTTTTGTATTTGGATAGTAGGTACAAACTTTTGGAATCAAAATTAGAATCGACTCTAAAGAAGTCTCTTGAAATTAAAGAAGAAAAAATTGCTGCTTTAGAAGCTCGATTAGAAGAATCCACAAATTACAACCAGCAGTTGCGCCAAGAACTTAAAACAGTAAGTGATTTCCTTGGAAGGAATTTTAATTGTTGAATATTTTGACAGAAAAATGTAAAGTAGGAAACAAAAAAGCAACATCATTAGTATTGTGTCTATTTCTTTTTCTTAAATTTGAGAGTAACAAATCTTTGTCTTTTAGTTCATTACAACTATATTTTGTTTATCCACTGTAATTTATTAAATTCCATTTCCACCATTCAGTTAGAGGCATATCAGTATTGTGGGAATGGGGTGGTGAAGAGGCAGTCTTACTCTATTGGGAAAAGCTTTCAGTGTGATACTGACACTTCACTCTAACACCCTACTCCTATTGAAAATCCAGTTAACAGTTTGGTAGGCATAGATGTGGGTATGAGGATACCAAGTAGAGGCAAATAGTATGTGTGGTATGTGAAAGCACTTGATCTCATAAATTTGAGGTTTTCTCCTAGACCCGTTTTCTTGTGATATTTGGAATAATTCTGTGAAATACGCAAGGCAAGAGCGACTGTCCGTTTTCCTTTACATAAATAAATTGAAATCAAAGGGGCTTGCCCATTTCCTAGGGTTAGTGTATGGTAGATTGGTAGAATCATGTTCTGTTTTTTTTTTTCCCTTCAATCATCTCTGTAGTACCACCAAGAGTGATTTTACAGTCAACTAAACATTCAGATTGACAAGATTACTATGGGCCACATTTAGAACTACTTGGTTCTAAGTACAAGTATAGAGCAGGGCATTGTCAAGGATCCCTCTTCATATAGTTGTCTAGAGTCATATTCACACCATATGACAGTTCAAGTGCAAGATGATGAGATTCACATTGAACTTGCAGGAGCTGCCCTTGCTTTGAGACTGTATGCTCCATAGTAGTCATCATCTCTTGCAGAAACCCTTAAGGCATAGATATAAGATCTCCACAATGGATATACAGGTTTCCAAAGGCCCAGTTACCAAAGATGAATTTCCCATGCAGAAAAGGAAAAAGATTTTGTTCCCCATTTGCCCATAACATCATTGTTGGTATTTATACCATGAAATATATATCATTACAGAAGAAACTCTAGAATTTTGCTTAGTTAACATAAAGAATTATCCAAAAAATAAAGTAAAATTTGGCACCAGAGTTAATTAATCTCCAGTATGTCGGTTACAAAGAAAGTCAACTTCATAAAGCTACTCAGCCAGAAAATAATTGGGTATGGGTGTGGGTTAGTATTGCATGTATTTCAAGTCTAGAGAACAGAGATTCAAAATGTCATCGTCTTCCACTTCCAGCCATTTTGGCATAGCTATTACTGGACTAGCTTCCTACCATTCAACTGGAATTAGATTGTTCTGGATTTTAATACTATATCACTTGAAGACTATGAAAGTTAAGTATGAGTTGAATGCCTGAAGTAACTACTAAAATAGAATGACAAAAAAGGTATAGCTAATATGCCAGCAAAGGAGATAAAATAGAATTATACAAAATTCAAAAAAAAAAAACAGAAAAAGAAAAAATGAGGAACAAAGTACAGATTGGACAAATAGAAAACAAATAGCAAAATGGCAGTTTTAAACAAAACCAGATTAATCATCACATTAAATATAAAAGGTCTAAACATGCCAATTGAGAGACTGAGATTAATAAGTAAGGTAAAAAGGCAAGACACACCTATATGCTGTCTCTAAGAAACCTCAATGGAAAATATGTCATTTTTTTATGTGAACATAAATCACAGATTCTGATTAATGATATATAAGGTAAAGGGTCCAATTTTGAAACATACTTATAAGAACAATGTGCTAAAAATAAGCTTTGTGTATCACTCTCTGCTCTCCTTCTTAATAATGGCATATATCTGTAGTCTTTATAAGCCTAGAAAAACCCTGTGGAAAATTAATGTAAAATATGAGACAGGAAATGATGTCACTCATGTTATTAGGGTATTAAAAGTAATTTAAAAAAACCCTCAAAACTGGAAAATTAGGATCACAGAATACCTATTAAATCATTCAGCCATGCTTTAAATTATATTCTATCTAGGGCATCTTTTTTCTTCAGTCTCACTTCATTATTTTCTAACTCAATAGTGGCAAAGTTTATTGTTGAGTCATAAGTTTCCTAAGGTTTGCCTTACATATTGAATTATTTTAAATTTCTGTTTTAAGTTTATTTATTTAGAGAGAGAAAGAGGGAGAGAGTACATGTACATATGTACAAGTGGGGAAGGGGCAGAGAGAGGGAGAGAGAATCTCAAGCAGGCTCCACTCTGACAATGCTGGATGCTGGACTTGATCTCATGGACCATGGGATCATAGCCTGAGCTGAAATAAATGAGCCACCCAGGCACCCCTAGATGTTGAATTATTTTAGACATTTATATTTTTGCCTTAATACAAAGTTTGAGCTTTAATTTAGAAATTTAGTATAAATGTCTCCTAGGAAAAAGTAATGATTCAAGATAAGTATAATAATAATCAGTCTAAATTAAAGAGAGCTATTAAGTTAATCAGTAATTTTGGTACTGTAAGATTACCCAGTTGTTAGTATTGAGTTGACTCTCTTAAAGTAGGATTTGGTTGTAATCACACCAGAAAACCCTGGGTAAGATATATCCTTGGATTGCTCACTTTTTATAAAATGTAGTCATTACATGTGGTTTAGGATCTGAATAAAGAAGTCATTAATTTTCTTTATTAATATAACGCATTCTGGGCAACATATCCTTCTTACAAGAGCAGACATTTATAGATACTTCTTCAACTTTAGGTATCTTTTTTTTTAGAAGGAATTATTACGTATGTCAAGTCTTCATTTGTTCTTTACATGGGGTATCTCTGAAATCTCTAAATCAGCGATAGATATGTCAAAAAACAATTACTAATATTTAGCAACATGTCTATTTCCAGTTAATATATTCTTCATCATAAACAATAGGATCTGAAATTACAGAATATGTAATTGGAGTATGGCACATAAACAGAGTATATTTGATATTTTCTAGAAGGAAAGGATTTGCAATTGACAAAGCATAAATTGTGATCATGATAGTAATGATAGTCATACATATTATTTATCATAGTTTTAAATTCTTTTTTTTTTTTCAACGTTTATTTATTTTTGGGACAGAGAGAGACACAGCATGAACGGGGGAGGGGCAGAGAGAGAGGGAGACACAGAATCGGAAACAGGCTCCAAGCTCTGAGCCATCAGCCCAGAGCCCGACGCGGGGCTCGAACTCACGGACCGCGAGATCGTGACCTGGCTGAAGTCGGACGCTTAACCGACTGCGCCACCCAGGCGCCCCTATCATAGTTTTAAATGAAGTGTCTCTCCTATTCACCAGACTAGTGCAGAATCTAATTGTGAGAAGTAATAATTTTGGTGATTTTTTTCTCCCCATTAAAATATTTTAAATAAAATATTAGGTGAAAAAGAACTATGAAGCTCTCAAACAGAGACAAGATGAAGAAAGGATGGTACAGAGCTCTCCTCCAACTTCTGGTGAAGATAATAAATGGGAGCGAGAAAGTCAAGAAACGACTAGAGAGCTTCTGAAGGTTAAAGACAGATTAATTGAAGTAGAAAGAAATGTAAGTATTTTTAAATTTTTGTAGGAATAAGATTTTTTAGAAGTAAAGTAGCATTGAATATATAATTCAGAAAATTTATTTAATCTGGTTTTGGAGCTTTGTTCATCTTATACTTTCTCGACTGATTTATTTTATAATGTAATAAAGGGCTGAAGAACTAATAATTTAATATACTTTTCTACCCTGATATAAGTCCATCAGCAAGCTTTGTCAACTCTTGTGAAAATACATCCCAAGCCCATCTACTTCTGTCCCATTGTTGCTGCTACCACTCTAGTCTAAGGTACCATCATCTCTCATCTGGATGAGAGAATATCCTCTCAGGTGCTGTCTTCCCCCACTTCTACTCCTGGCTCAGCCTAACCCATTCCTATTACAATAGGCAGTTTTTATTTTAAAACATAAAACTTAGTCATACCACTTTTCTACTTAAAGTCTTAATTGGCTTCCCCTCCCAATTAGAATAAAATCCAAATTTGTTAGTGTCTTGTAAGATCATTCCTGACTTTGTCCTGCCTATATTGCTGGCCTTATACCATAGCACTCTTCCACCCCCTCTGTTGATTTATCTGGAGATAATATTACTATAGTGAATACCTGGAAAACACAAAACAATGCCTGATATATAGTCAATTAATTCTAGTCATATTGGCCTTCTCTATTCCTATTTCCAGACCTTTATGTTCACATCCTCTACATAGAACACATGGCTAGCTTCCCTCAGGATTCAGGCCTCATTTGACACATCTCCTGCGAGAGGTCTTTTCTGACCCCTCCACCAGTCAAGTAGCTATTCTCAACCTAAGCCATTTAATACCAAGCCACTGCCTTATTTAGTTTCTTCATAATGCGTTTCACTAGTGAAATATTATTTCTTTATTTCTTGGTTGTCTACTGGAAAAAAGCTCCTTGAAAGCAGAAAGCTGTCTTTCTTTTTTGCCACTATGCCTTCAGTATGTAGACTTAAGCCTGGTGGATAGCAGACACAGTAAATATTCCCTGAATGAGTTGGAGAAATACTTGACAAGAAACAGTAATCAAATAAATTCACCAAACATCTATCCTTTAAAGATGAATGAGCTTTTGGAATATATATATTAACAAGTAAAATAGTTGCAGTTGTTGCTTTTGTGTTTTAATGTAACATGTTTTGCAAACTTTAAAGCCATAATGCCAAAAATTAATTTCCTACAGTGTTGATTCCTACTTTCTCATCCAGAAGTAATCACTGTAAACAGTTTGTTTTCCCAGAAAAATGATTTATCTGTGTATAGAAGTAGATTTCTTTTTTTCATCCAAGATTTAAATCCCAGTTACTTAATATACAATGTAATATTAGTTTCAGGTGTAGGATTTAGTGATTCATTACTTATATATAATACCCTATGCTCATCACAAGTGCCCTCCTTAATACCCATCACCCATTTAACCCATCACCATGCCTTCCTCCCCTTCAGCAACCCTCAGTTTGTTCTCTATAGTTAAGAGTCTGTTTTCTGGTTTTCCCCTTTAGTTTCTTCCTCCTGTGTTCATCTGTTACATTTCTTAAATTCCACATGTGAACGAAATCATCCGGTATTTGTCTTTCTCTGAATGACTTCTATTGCTTAACATAATAGTCTCTAGCTCCATCCACATGGTGGCAAATGGCAAGATTTCATTCTTTTTTTATGGCCAAATAATACTCCATCATATATATAAACTTCTTTTTTCTTTTTTGATATATTTATGATTATTTTTTAATATTATTTATTGTCAAATTGGCGTACATACAGCACCCAGTGCTCATCCCAACAAGTGCCCTCCTCAATGCCCATCACCCACTTTCCCCTCTCCCCCACCCCTCATCAACCCTCAGTTTGTTCTGTGTTTAAGAGTCTCTTATGGTTTGCTTCCCTCTCTGTTTGTAACTATTTTTTTCCCCTTCCCTTCCCCCATGGCCTTCTGTTAAGTTTCTCAAAATCCACATATGAGTGAAAACATATGATATCTGTCTTTCTCTGACTGACTTATTTCACTTAGCATAATACCTCCAGTTCCATCCACGTTGCTGCAAATGGCATAATTTTATTCTTTCTCATTACCAAGTAGTATTCCATTGTATATATAAACCACATCTTTATCCATTCATCAGTTGATGGGCACTTAGGCTCTTTCCATAATTTGGCTATCGTTGAAAGCACTGCTGTGAACATTGGGATACATGTGCCCCAATGCATCAGCACTCCTGTATCCCTTGGGTATATTCCTAGCAGTGCTATTGCTGGGTCAAAGGTTTTTTAAGTTTTATTTATTTATTCTGAGAGAGAGAGTAGGCGCAGGGCAAATAGAGAAGGAGAGAGAGAATCCCAAGCAGGCTCTGCCCTGTCAGCACAGAGCCTGATGTGGGGCTCAAACTCATGTACTGTGAGATCATGACCTGAGCTGAAATCTGGAGTCAGAAGCTTAACCGCCTGAACCACCCAGGTGCCCCTATATACCACAACTTCTTTATCCATTCATCAGCCAATGGACATTTGGGCTTTTTCAATAATTTGGCTATTGTTGATAGTGCTGCTGTAAACATCAAGGTTCATGTATCCCCTTGAATCAGTATTTTGGTGTCCTTTGGGTAAATATCCATTAGTGCTATTGCTGAATCATAGGGTAGTTCTATTTGTAACTTTTTGAGAAACCTCTGTACTGTTTTCCAGAGTGGCTGTACCAGTTGGCATTCCCACCAACAGTGTGGATTCTCTGAATCCTCTCCAACATCTGTTGTTTTTCTGTGTTGTTAATTTAAGCCATTCTGACAGGTGTGAGGTGTTATCTCAGTGTAGTTTTGATTTGTATTTCCCTGATGATGAGTGATGTTGAGCATCTTTTCATGTGTTTGTTAGCCATCTGTATGTCTGGGAGTGTATTTCTTTTACAGTTATATCTGTGGGATCATGCTATACAATATTTTGAGGATCTCTGTATTTTAGACAGATATAGATCTATCTCATTTTGTTTAATGAACACATTATTCCATAGTATGGATGTTACTCTAATTTATTTAAATAAAACCCACATTGATGGGCATTTAGGTTATTTTCAGATTTTGCTGCAATGAAAATCTATGTATAATATGTTCATAGGGTAGTAAATTCCTGACAGTGGAATTGATAGGCCAAAGGGTATATATACATATCTGTGTATGTGTGTAATTTTAAATGATATCATCACTTAAAATTGAAAATCACATTCGTTTTCAGTCCTTCTAATAGAGTACCTGTTTTTTTAGATATACATTTGATATTACTAGTCTTTTAATTTTTATTAAAGCAAAAAGAAAATATTTTAATTTTCATGTTTTAAATTGGCGAGCTATTTTACATCTTTATATATTTATCAGCTGTTATGAATGCCTATTTTTAATTATTCAGTGATTTTATATATATACACATAGACACACACCTCCATCACTTGGATTAATAATTATATTTCAGAAAATTTGGCTGACTTGTAAAGTTCTGTAAGGTAAATTTCTTATCCCACTGACTTCCTTTATAAATTTCTATTGGAAAAAAACTACTTGGTTGTCATATTTTAGCCATTAATGGTTTATAAAGAAGGCTAGCCCTATATTAGACTGGTAATTTTGGTGTTTTTGCCAGTGTATTTACTGACCTCATAACTTCTCCATTGTAAATTTTTTCTCGCTCTGAGATATCCTTTCTACTCTCTTTTATTCTTTTATAGACTATAGGAATTTTTCTTATTCCTATAGGGATACCCAGACTTAACATTAGAGCTTGCACATTTTGGTTTATTAAGACCTGAACTACAAGGTACTTAACGTACGTAAGTGAAAAATGGTTCACTTCTTTGGTGTATCAAGATGACATATAAATACATTAGTGTTCCATATTATTCTTCCAGTGTAAATTTTTTTATCCTTTTTGTCTAAACAAATTAGCATAAGAAAAGGACAATATCAAAACCACCATGCCTTTGCAAACTTTAAAGCCTTTGGCTTACTCAGCTTTGATTTTGTGGTATAATGTATGGGTTAAATCATTACTTGACTTTCATACAGTAACATGTAGTATATGTAACATGAAAGCGTATAAAATGAATGTTTCCTTTGTCCCCTGTGTAGGTACGATAAAAGTGATCTGTTGTGGTTCAGTGTAACTTTTTATGCATATCACAGTTATATGCAACAAATTCTGGCCTTTTTATATATAAAGTTTTATTTCAGTTTTCTAGAGGGTTCTTTGTTTATACTTTTTGATACTATTTTTTTATGAAATGCTATTTAGAAATAATCCTAAAAATACAGTATCTATGGCAAAGAGTTTAATATATATTGCATTAAATTAATAATCTATTATTTGCATAGTAATTCAACTGTTTAACTATAAAATTGAAATATGTTCAAATGTACTGGAAAAATTGAAAATTGTATGTTTTGTTTGGATTTGCTCCAGAAGTCCTATAGATGAGATAGAGTTTTAGTGAGTATTTTATACTATGGAAAAAAAAAAATCACTACAGAAAATATATAACATCTGTTAGGTCAATTATGGCCTAAATTTTTTAAACACATAGTTGAAATTGTTCTGCTTCTCTCTTAAATTTGTGTTTATAAAATAGTTTTGCTGCTACCCCTGGGACCAGCACTCGCCTATATGTATTTGCCTTTGGGCAATTAGAAAATGTGCACTTCATTGGCTGGACACAATCCCATGCACTTTTGAACACTACATAAAGGATTTAACACCCCATTCTAGTTTCTTTTTTTTTTTTTAATTTAAATTCAAGTTAGTTAACATACAGTGTAGTCTTGGCTTCAGGAGTAGAATCCAGTGATTCATGTCTTACATATGATGCCCAGTGCTCATCCCAAAAAGTGCCCTCCTTAATGCCCATCACCCATTTAACCCATCCCCCCATCTACTCCCCTCCAGCAACCCTGGTTAGTTCTCTGTGTTTAAGAGTCTCTTATGGTTTGCCTCCCTCTCTCCATTCTAGTTTCTTATGTTAATTATTGAGAATGGAATATTTTATTTTTTGGACGCTATAAAGCAGACAGTACAGAGACACAATAGTATGGTAAGGTTTTAGTATTATCATTTTCTTTCTCTTAGATTAAATCTTTATAATTTGGAATAGTAGGGAACTGTTTAACTCTTTTAAGGTTGTTGGGATTTTTTTTGGATTATAATGGTAATAGTTGTTATGAAATTGTAATATCTGTTAAACAGAAATGTTTGTTGCTTTTTAAAATGTGTTTTCTTTATTAAGAATGCTACATTGCAAGCAGAGAAGCAAGCACTGAAAACTCAACTGAAGCAACTTGAGACACAGAACAATAATTTGCAGGCTCAGATTCTTGCACTTCAGAGGCAGACAGTGTCCTTACAGGAGCAGAATACTACTCTTCAAACGCAGAATGCGAAGCTTCAGGTTGTAATGTAATATTTGGGGATGTGCAACCAAATTTTTGAATTATGCTCTTAAAATAAGGATAACTGGACATGGTAACATTGTTTCTTAGTGTGAATTTAATGGGAGATAAATTAATGGATGATAAAATCTATTTAGTGCTATACCAGACTTTCATATATCAGCATTTTTTTAAATGTCAGAGCCTCTAAATATTAACTAACAAATTCATTCAATGAACATAAGTAAAATAAAGGTAATTTTATCTTTATTTAAATTACTAAAAAAACTTTGTTTATATTTAAAATTTTTTATTTAAAATACTTATTTATGGGAGTGCCCAGGGCCATAGTAGAGCACAACAGGAGCCTGCACAAGGAGCCACGGGAGCTTCAGCAGCACCTGCCAGAAAGGCCCAGCATTAAACAAAATAAATAAATAAGCAAAGTAAAATACTTAGTTAAAATATAATTTCATCTTTATTTTATTTATGTTTACTTTATGGCCTTTTACCTGTTTCAGCAAGTTGACTGTAATTAAGCAGAAACCTTTGCTTTAGAATATGGTTGCAACATACCATTGTTTATTTCCTTTTTACAGCTTTCATATCAGTTATTAGAAACCAACAAAGCATGAGAATTTTGTCTTCAGATTTTTCCTTGGTTCAGAGGATCAATTTTGCACTTAATGCTGCAGTGTCTTTTCAAATAGAACAATCAGGTCTGGGAAAGTGTAACTCTTTGAAACCTCTTAAAGAGCCAGAGGAAAAAATTCCATCTCCAAATCTGAAAGTTCTTTCTGTAACTCTTTTCCACATGGTAAAACACATGCTAAGTTAATGTAGACTCTTGAGAAAATTTCCAGTTGAAATGTCACAAGTAATTTTTCAGTTCTGTCAACCCTCAACTTTTAGGAAGTGATAAATTAGCATTTTGGATTCTGTAGTTTTTCATGAGTGGAATACAAATTGTTTCTAATCACCTTCATTTAAAATAATTGAATCCAAAACATGTATGGTATATATCTCATAATAATTTTTAATAACATCTGCCAAAAATAAAAATTAAATTGTAGGCTTTTTCTTTGGGATACTTATAAAAACCAAACTTTCTCAGTATAATATGAAATGATCTGTTGTGATTTATATAGAGCTCCTTAAAGTCACTGTTATCTTTTATATTTTTTATGTTGCCATTAGTTATATTTTTGAATAATTTTTAACATGGGAAAATTATTTTATCTGTAATAAACACATACCCCATATTTGTGTCTTCTCAAAGAGCAGGTAGCTATTTATGTCTGATAACAATATGCGTTCTTACAGGTTGAAAATTCTACCCTTAATTCACAAAGTACTTCACTGATGAACCAGAATGCACAACTCCTAATCCAGCAGTCTTCCTTAGAAAATGAAAATGAAGCTGTAATCAAAGAGCGAGAAGACCTGAAATCTCTCTATGATTCTCTGATCAAAGATCATGAAAAGCTGGAACTTCTTCATGAACGGCAGGCTTCAGAGTATGAGTCTCTCATCGCTAAACATGGAACTCTAAAGTCTGCCCACAAAAATCTTGAAGTAGAACATAAAGACCTTGAAGATCGGTAATTTATTATCTTCTTTAGACAAGATAATAAATTTTATGTTAAACAGAACTAAGATAATTTATATAGGAAATTTATCATGTTTATGTGATACTTACTAATAAATTACTCTTGTTTTCTTTGTTTCTAAAGTATTTTCTTTTTTCTAAAGAGATAAACCAAATACCTTTTTTTCCCAGTTACAATCAGTTACTAAAACGGAAAGGACAGTTGGAAGATTTGGAAAAAACACTGAAAGTAGAACAGGAAAAAATGCTGCTTGAAAACAAAAACCATGAGACTATAGCTGCAGAATATAAGAAACTTTGTGGTGAAAATGATAGGTAATAAATATTTATATATTTTAGTTTTATATTATTCATTACATCCAGAGTGTTTACTGCCCCCTTTGCATTACCATCTGTAATTTAGAATTTTTAAAAAGTCCCCAGAACAACATGTAAATTACCCACCAAAATCATGCAGCTAGTTATAAAATGGCTTGAAAACCTTGGTCCCTTGTTTTCTCTTACTGTTTCTCTCTTGATTTATTCAACTAATTAATTTTTTAAGCCACATTATATAAAGAAATCTGTACCTTGATAGCATTTACATGCTTTATTGCTACAGAATGTAATGAAATCTGATTCTTTATGTCTGTCTTTTTGCTAGTCTGATATCTCAGTTCTTGTCTTTCAAAGTTGCTACAAGTAAGCAGCCTCCTGTTTTCTAGCTGACTGATTTGAACTCTTATTTTTAACTGTCTTAGGCATTAATGGTTCTCATATTGCATGGGGCAATTATTGTTTAATTTGTAGCTTTGGGAAAATCAAAACTTGCCAACTGGTAATTTGCCTGCTTCATAAGGGTACATTTCAAAGGGTTTTTAGAAACCTTTGACAGTTTAAGCAGTCTGAACATTGGCACTGCACTTAGACTTAACCATAGCTGAAGTGCTAAAAGGCAGCACAAAAAAATTCAAGTGAGGGTCATTCATTGACTATTGTCCTGTTATGAATTTAATATAATCCATTTTTCAATTTCTGTTTCTTTTCCTTTACAAAAAAAATAATCCCTCTAAGTTTCTGGAGCCATTTTTATATTCATGCTCAATAGTTTTTAATTTAGTAATTGTTATAACTAGAAATAGTGTACTAGGGGATTTGAATTTCAATAAGCTCAACACCAAGCTAGAATCAAGAAGGATATTAAGGTATGTTCAGTAGAAGACTAGATTGTGACAAGTTATAGAATACCTTTAGACAGGGTCTTTAAAATTTTTTTTAAATATTGTTTTATTATTTTTGAGAGAGAGAGAGAGAGAGACAGTGCCATTGGGGGAGGGGCAGAGAGAAGGGGGACACAGAATCCAAAGCAGCTCCAGGCTCTGAGCTGTCAGCACAGAGCCCGACGCAGGGCCCGAACCCACAAACTATGAGATCATGACCTGAGCCGAAGTTGGACGCTCAACCAACTGAGCTACCCAGGCACCCCAAGACAGGGTCTTTTTTATTACGCACATAACATTGAGGAAGGCATTTAATATCAAAGTCCCATCTTGAACCTAACCTTTTTCCACTGTTGGAATTTGCAACAAACTGGGACAGTTGGTGAGTTTGGATAGGCCTTCTAGGAATCTAATTGTATTCATTTCTGAGGACCTTCTGAGAAGGAGCTTAGCCTAAATGATAAGAAGAAATTGAGCATGATGATCTTGAACCAGAAGACTCTGCAGGCTTGAAAGGGAAGTGTGATTCTGAGTATTCTCTCTCAAAGCTGTTCTATCCCAGCTTTTATGCATGCATGTCTATGTTGTAAAGGAAGAAAAGGTTTTAAGCAAAACCTTGAAAGAGCTCTTTCACAAAAAAAAAAAAAAAAAAAATTCTGAAGAACAATAGTTTGTTTATCCATTCCTCTAAATAACCTAAGTTTTAATCTTTGATAATGCCAAATCAGGAATGTTTATTATATGGACTGGTTTGTTTTGGCCTCTTTAGTATTGTGTTCACTGAATTGCATTTTGGTGTTCATGTTCTCAGCTTTAAGGGATATTGTAAAAAACCCTCTTAAAGAGCTCATTTTAGCATTTGCCAGGGAGATGGTGTTGAGGACATTGTATATTGTATCTCTTCATATCCCACCCCCATGAAGCGTCAGTAAGTAAATCTTTGATCTCCATAGATATTGACATATACCGTGTAGCTGATTGTGTGTCTCAGATCTGACCAGCTGTTAATAACTCATGGCATACATTCATTCATGGATTCAACTTATTTATGGAACATTTTCTGTATGTTTCTGGTCTTGCCATTTTATTTATTTATTTTTTACCAAGTCTTGATTTTTAAACATACTATTTTGTTATTTATAATTCTTGTAAGCTGACTCAATTCTTTGGGGAATGAGTTGAAGCAGATTGTTAGGTGTTTTGAACAAGTCCCATCCTGTTCTTAATCCTGTAAGATAAAGGTTGTTAAACTACAGGCAGCTAGCTCAGCGGGCCAAATCCAGGCTGCATTCTGATTTTTGTTTTTGTTTTTGTTTTTGTTTTCCACATTTAAAAACAAATTTTATTATATAGCTCTTCTGTTTTTTATTTTTTTACTTTAAGTTTTTATTTTAATTTGTTAGTTAACATACAGTGTTATATTAGTTTCAGTAGTACAATATAGTAATTTAACAATTCCATCCTGTTTTGGTTCAGCTCCCAAACTGAAAATAGTTTTTACATTGTAAAAGGTTGCGGGGGAGCACATAGAGGAAAAGAGTTTGCTGTATGTTGCATGTGACCCACAAAGTCTAAGATATTTACTCTGGTCCTTTATAGAAAAAGTTGCTGACCTCTGCTTTTAGATGTCAGTGGACTTTGTTCTGAGGGTATAATGGAAAGAAACAGATAAGTTAGGTGTATGGTTTGATTTTTTATAAAAAATCTAAAATTTTTTTCAGAAAAAATCTCCCAATTTCTCAATAAGTGGAGACTACATAAACATGGATAATTTGTCACAGCTGTGGAAATCTCAATAACTAAAATTTTGGTTTAAGTCCATTATCTGGCAACAGATTGATGGACTATCATTTCTTGTACTGCATTGATTGATTCTCTTGATCTTTCTTGAATTTTCACGTTGAATTTTAGAATTTTAAACTTCTCTATGAGATCTAAACAGGATTGGTTATTTTCTCTTTTGTCCTTTAATCTAAATATTTTCTTATTAGTACTTCACATTTTAATGATAAAATTGTAAGTGTCTTCTTAAACATTTAAATGCTGGGAGATTCAAAAGAAGAGTAGTTTGAATTTTTTTAATCTGTTTTACAGAATAGAAGCTGATTTTTTAAGAGTTTAGTCACTGGCAAGAATCCTACATTCTTTAAGTATGTCTGTGATCCACAGCATTTTCACACTGTGTAAATTACAATGAAAGCTATTAAGGATTCTAACTCTATTTCTGTCATGATTTCTAAATAGGTTGAATCATACATATAATCAGCTTGTAAAAGAAACTGAAGTTTTACAAACTGACCATAAAAACTTGAAAAGTCTTCTAAATAATTCCAAACTGGAACAAACCAGATTAGAAGCTGAATTTTCAAAGTTAAAGGAACAATACCAACAGTTGGACATCACATCCACCAAGCTCAATAACCAGTGTGAGGTGAGCTTTACCAAGTTTTTTTCATTTTGGGAGTCAAGACATGCCTAAAAAGTAAACAATCATATTAAAATGATGATAGCAGTATATATTTTGTGGGGTATTTCTAAAAGAAGTGATCAGGGATAATTGAAATTCACAACTAATTCAGAAAAACTTCTGTTATTATTAGTATCAACATTGTTTACTATTAGTTTAAACTGACATGTCCAGATACTTTGAAAATGTAAAACTGTGCCCTTGTTTAATGAAAAAAATGTTTACTTACCACCTAGCATGTACTAGGAAACCAAAAAGGTAAAAATCTCTCCCTTTGTGGAGCTTATTCTGGTGGAAGGAAATAGACAAACACAAGTAAGTGAAATACATAGTGTTTCAGTGTTTTGTAACATGGCTACATAGCACTTTACCCCAAAACTTGGTGGTAAAACAATCATTTATTAGGCTCACCGATCTGTGGATCAGAATTTGGACAGGGATAGCGGGACCAGTTTATCTCTGCTTCACTTGCCACTGGGCCCCTAGCCTGAAGATTGAAAGGTGAATGCATGTTTGATAGTTGATGCTGGCCATCAGCTGGAGGCATCAGTTTTCTCTCTACGTAGTGTCTCTGAGGGCTGGTTGGGGCTTTCTCACAACATGGTGAGAACAAGACAGAAGCCATCTTTGCTTTGATGATCAAATCTCAGAAGTCATGCAGCATCATTTCCCCTGCATTCTATTCACTGAGGCAGTCAAAATTCCATTCAGATTTAAGGGAAAGAGAAAATAGACTCAGCCTCTTGGTGGAGAATGTCAAGGTTCTACAAGAGCATATGGACTGGAAATACTGCTCTACCTATTTTGAAAATTAGTCTGCAACATATGATATGTTACAAGGTAGATAAGTTATGTGCAAGTAAAAATGAAGTAGGGTAAAAGGGGATATGGAGGACTTCCAGGGTGGATGAAGGAGTATAGATTGAGATTTTAATAGGCATCCTTGAACAAAGATAACTTTATTCAGAGTAAAACACCAGAGCCATTTGAGCATTTTGAACAGAAATGACATTGGCCTTATGAATACAGTTGTGTTCTTAACATAATTCCATGCCTCTCTTTGTTGTTTAGGTTTTATTTATTTTTCTTGAAGTTTATTTATTTATTTTGAGAAAGAGAGAGTGTGTGTGTGCACACAGAGAAGGAGGAAGAGAGAGAATCCCAACCAGACTCTATACATTGTCAGTGCAGAGCCCAGTTTTGGACTCAAACTCACGAACTGTGAGATCATGATCTGAACCAAAATCAAGAGTTGGACACTTAACCAACTGAGCCACCCAGACATCCCCATGCCTCTCTTTGTGATGGTTTGATAAAGCAATAAAAGTTTTAAAATATAAAAGGGTACTGAAAGCCTTAAATAATCCTTAAATTTTATTAGTTGGTCCCCAAATCATTGACATTTGAATATAGCTTAACACCTGAATTTCATGGCACTTTTAAGAAACAAGCACTTAAGCTAGTCTTTAAAGGAAAGTAGGAATAGATTTTCAGAAAATAATACTTACAAGTTTTTTGTCTGAAATGATAAACCAATAGAAAGAAAAATTAGTTTAATAAAAATCATATACATTTAATATCCAACAAGGCTCAGAAAGTACAGAAAATTCATTCTGCCTGTGATTTATAAAAGTCTAAATAAAATATATATGGAGCGATGGACTTACAGAATGAGGAATAGGGCAAATCAACTCCCTAAGAAACAATAAAATTGGGCAGAATTGTCAAAAACAACCAATATAGGACTCTGGACCTCAAGGAAAGATGTTCAACAAATTGAGAAGCATTTATTCAAGAAAAGCTGCTCAACTTTGGATAGGAACTCTGGTTGTCTGAGGCATTTTATCTTGTGATTTCTCCCATTCCCCTCCCCCCTTTCCCAGTTCCAACACCTGGTAGTTTAGGTGAGGGGCATACTGTGAAAACCATCAACTTTGCTACCAGAGCAGATTGATTTGATTTGAGCAGAGCACAAAAAAGTCCCCATCCCCAAGAGAGTTGTCAAAGGTCAACTTTCAGATGGCCTGAGGTTGGAATATTGGTTGAGGCAAGTAATAGATTGGCAAATTAGTCAAAAATTTCACTAGGAGAATCAAGGAATGAGATATTCAGCCACAGTGAATCTTGATCAAGTTCCACATGACACTGGTGGTCCAAAAAGCTATCCAGGAGAGACCAGACAGGGCCCTAGTGAACTACTTATCTCTGGCTGATTGTCCCAACCCAGTCAAATGTTAACCCTTGACTATGGGTTAAGTCATATAATAACATTATTTAGAGGGAGAAAATCAATCCATAGTGTTAGAGGCCAGGATAGCAATTAATCTTTGTGGGAAGGGATGGTGATTGGAAGGGAGCACAAGGTGTTTCTGGAATATGGTTAACGAGCTGTTTCTTGATCAGTGTGCTGATTCCTTCCACACATGTGTTCACTTTGCTCTAATTCACTGAGCTATATCTACTTAAAATTTCTTCCCTTTTCTATATATATGCTTTATCAGTTGTCTATTGACACAGTAATTAATGCTGTATAACAACATAGAACCTTTGGTAATGGACAATAAATACTTATTTTTGCTCATGATCTGTGGATTGGCTGAGCAGATGTGCTGATAGCATGTATTGATGTGTGGACCAAGATCATTTGATCTTAGTAGAGGTTGCTCCTATATCTGCATTTAACTGGTACATTCTTTGAGAGTGGGCTGGCTGGCCTAAGGTGGCCCTAACTGGCATAACTCTTCTCTGTGCCACGTTGTCTCTCATCCTCCAGCAGAATTCCAAGTGGAAGCACAGAAGGCTCTTGAGGCCTAGGCTTGGAGCTTCCATCACTACCACTTACTTTTCATGGACAAAGACTTTCCAAATTCAAAAAGACAGAAAATAAGTTCCACTTCTTGATGGTAAAAGTACGAAGTTGCAGCACAAGAAGGTGTAGGTACAGGGAGGAGAATAATTGCATTCAATCTTGCAACGAATCTACCACATGTTGTATTTCAATTTAACAATATATTGATAAAACAAATACAGCACAATATTAATAGCAGTTAGAGCTAAATGCCTGTTTATGGATATTCATAATATTATACTATCTGCTTTTCTGTATCTTATGAGAGTTTTCAAAATGTTTCTTTTCCTTCCCCACCCCCGCCCACTCCCCCACAGGAGGGCTTGTTGTTGGCTTTTTTTTTTTTTTTTTTTTTTTTTTTTTTTTTTTTTTTTTTTTTAAACTACAGATCTCTGGGCTCTACTCCAGACCAGCTGAATTTGAATGCTAGGACCCAGAAATCCACATTTTTAAATAAACTCTACAAGTGATGTTAAAGTTTGAAAGTCACTACTTGGGGCTTTCTGACTTCTACGGGAACCTCTAGCCTCACTAAGGCATATTTCTAATTTCTTCTAGCTATATAGAAGCAGCCCAGTGCTGCTGGCAGCCCAACTACCAATAGTATCAGCCTAGTAACACCAGCCATTGACACGACTACCTGAGTCCCTTTGATCAAGCTATAAAGACTATACACTTTTAAGATTCCTAAAAAACAGTGGTTGAGGAAAGAATGAGGTATATTAAGTACCTACTTTGTGTTATAAGTATGACAAAAGATACTTTACATATATTATTTAATCCTTGCAACAGTCTGGTGTGGGAGTTATTATCATTTTATAGATAAGGTCATTAAAGCCCAGAGAATTAATTAACTTGTCCAGTGTTTCATAGCTCCTTAAATAGAAGACCAGGTAGCTTTTGGACTAGAAGTTAAATGGTTTGAGGAAAGCAGGTGTTTGTGAAACTAGATAATTTATTGTATGTTAAACCCACTATTTGTAAGAATTTTTAAAAATGTGTGCACAGCACATAACTCAGTATTTTGGCTGTCATAACTAAAATAATCACTCATGTTCTGATCAAAGTGCAACCATCTAATTATTCAAGTAGCAGAAGACTGCAATCTTTGTGAAGCCCTTTATATTTTTCAGATGTTTCGGCTGATTTCTGTTAAATGTAAATGTTGATTTTTTTAAAATGTTTGTGTTTAAACAGTTGCTAAGCCAACTTAAAGGAAATTTAGAAGAAGAAAATCGACATCTACTAGATCAAATTCAGACATTAATGCTACAGAACAGAACACTATTGGAGCAAAATATGGAAAGCAAAGATCTCTTTCATGTTGAACAAAGACAATACATGTAGGTACCAAATTTTAAAATATTGCTCATCATTTTATCGTTGCCATATGGTGACAGAGATAGTCACCGTACTGTCACAGTCACTGCTACTGTTTTTAATTTTTGACATTATTATTTCTACTTAAATTTTTTTGAATGCTTATGTTCCAGGCACTCTGCTAGTAACCAGAAATGCTAATATGAAAACACATATGTCCTACTCCTAAGAAACTAGTAACATAAAGCAAGAAATACAAATAATTGCTGTAACGGAAGTATGTATATGAGACCATATAAATATAGCAAATATAGGGGGAAGGACTAACTTAGTCTGAAAGAGGCAAGGTGGACTTTCCAGAGATGATTACTTGAGCTAAGATTTAAAGGGTCATGGGAATTTGCCTGAGGAGACATACCAGGCCAGAGAGCACAAATGAAGTAACATGGAGGTGTGTTGAAGGGGTGTTATGGTATGATATAGAACCTAAAAATTAATAGTTCCTCCTGGAGCAAAATTGAGGAATAAGGAGCAATAGAGAAGTGGCTAAAAACTTAGTAACCATTTCACAAAGGTTTTTCTGTGCCATACAAAGGAGTTGCTGAAAAAAATCGAGCCGGGGAGTAAAATGATTAGATTTGTGTTTTTTTTTAAAGGCACTGATGACATTTTAGAGTACGGATTGGAGGTTCTGAATAGAGAGACAAGGAGTAAGTTTTAGAAAGACTGTTGCAATAATCTAGTGAAACATAATTCATAAGCAGTGGTAGTTGAGATCAAATATGAGTTGTAAGAGAGAGATTGGCAAGGCTTCATATTGGTGAGTTATGTTTCCATTAAGTAGAGGGATCTGCTAAATCAGGGATTTGGGCCTGAGGAGCTCAGTGGATGATCTTTGTATTACACCAAGATTCAGTTTTACTAAATTCTTCTCTCCCCCGTTCCCTCCCTGAATGTAAAACACTACAGTATAATAGAAATAGCACAGATGATGAAATGAGGCATCTCCTAATCTATTAGATGGTGAGCTGGGGCACATATGAAACCAGGATATATCAGACATTTTTTGAAGCATCAGTTTTCTTATAAAATTTGAGGCAGGGAACATGATCTTTATATTAACACATGTTTATGGAGCAAAAGGCAGAGTTTGCATGAGCTCTTAAGATAAATGCAAAACTTCAAAGAAATGTCCAAGTCCAAGTGGCTGGCCACTTTGGACTACACCGTTAATCATTTCAGGGGTATGTATGCTTTTACTCTCTGCCATAGAGGTCTTTTAGCTTAAGAAGTAGTAACTGTATGTAAAGCTCTTGACATTTGAGTTTTTTGAGGCATTTTCCAAAATTTTATCATCTTAATATTCTGGCCCTCGATGAATAACCCATTTCCAAAGTTTCAGTAATTGTTGACTGACAAAAAACATTAATATCTATTCTGACTTTTTGAATTTTTTTTTTAATGTTTATTTATTTATTTTTGGAGAGTGGGGGGGGGGTGTGCAGGGAGAATCCCAAGCAGGCTCTACACTGTCAGCACAGAGCCCAAAGTAGGGCTTGCTCCCATGAACCATGAGAGCATGACCTGAGCTAGAATTGAGTCAGATGCATAACTGAGCCATCCAGGCACCCCCTGAATTTTTGAATTTAAATTAAAAATATTCATATTCTATGTCAGTTTTAGCTAAATGCCTCTGTCACATGGTCCTAGAAGAAGTGACAGTGAACAGGTAGTACTTGGAAGTTCCTGACAATATTTCAAGAGATAAAAAGAGAAAACAATTGGGAGGTATAGACCATCTGCTGTTGTGCTCTGCTATAATTGTTGGTGATGCCTTTTCACAAAGCATCTTCAAACAATTCTTTCAGATCCGGATCCATTCATTCTGGTTCTTAATTCAGCCTGACAGCTCAACTATACTGACTACTTCATTAGCCTCCTGGTTGCTTTCTTTACCCGCATCCTTTTTGATAAGTTCTTTTTCATTAGGGAGTTAAGGGTACCTGAGGCAAAGATTTCATAATGTCACTTTGTAATGAAACCTTCAGTGCTTCTGATTTCCTGTTGAGCAAAATCTAAACCTGAAAATCCCTCACTGCTTCCCCTCAACTAAATTGCTTAATTTAGCATTCTTATCTTTTCAGTCTTTCTAATATGGGCATTTTCTCCACAAGACTTTCTTTGGTCATCCAAGATAGAAATATTTTGCCTTTGTAAGTTTTTCATACTTAGTGCTTTTATTTTGGTACCACTACTGACTTGGATTGTAATAGTCATTTATGTGTTTATGTTCTCTCTCCTACTGTATTATAAGCAGAGTTGAGCTACTTGTTATTTGTCTTTATATGGTCTCTGTGTCTTCCTCATTGTAAATTATCACTAAATATTTTTGAGTAAACAGCATCACTGTGGCATCACACTCTTTTTTAGAAAGATCATTTTACTTTGGTCTTTGATGTTTCCCTATATAATATATACTACCAAGAACATAAATGACACTAAGATGTGGTGAAACTAGTGTAATTCATGTATTGCTAGAGGCAGAAAATAGTTCTTTAGACATAAATTAAGCCTAAATAATTCTGCCATAAGGAAAAAAGTCTGTTTTCATGAAGATGTGATTACAAGATCACTTAGCATATCTACAGTTGTAAGCAAACCATTGAAAAGGTTTTTATTTACATAAATTATATTAAATCACCAACAGTGATGTGAGATACTAAAGATCCAAGAATAAGAGAATAGTCACTATTGATATGGTGTTGCTTGATAGCTGTTAAAAGATGTTGAGAGAATTCCTTTGTCAGGATGAGAATGTAATAAGGAAATTTTTCTTCAAACAAGTAAGTTGTATTAAAGAATTGAATTCTATATCCTTTTATTAAGTTTGAAAATATAAAGAAAAGGAGAAACTTGGAAAAAATCCCATTGTGAATACCTAATAAATTCTTAGTTGTCGACTATGGCATCTGTATTTGTTTATGTTTTGGAGAGAAATTAGATTCTAGTCACAAAATAATTTAATATTCATAACTGTACAAAATAATGGTGCATGTCCTAAAATGCAGTTTTTATTTTTATAGCGATAAGTTAAATGAATTAAGACGACAAAAGGAGAAATTAGAAGAGAAAATAATGGATCAATACAAATTTTATGACCCATCTCCCCCTAGAAGGTACTGTTAACCAAGTTTTACTCATTTTTATTTTGGGAAAAAAAAGTTAAGACTTCTAATTTTGTGAAGAATTTATATGTTGAATTTTAGACTCATAAGAGCTTTTTAAATTATTCTATTAGGAGAGGCAACTGGATTACTCTAAAAATGAGAAAATTGATAAAATCTAAGAAAGATATTAATCGGGAACGTCAGAAATCTCTTACATTAACACCTACCCGCTCAGACTCCAGTGAAGGATTTCTTCAACTCCCCCATCAAGATAGTCAAGATAGTTCTTCAGTAGGCTCAAATTCTTTAGAAGATGGCCAAACTTTGGGGACCAAGAAAAGCAGCAGTGAGTGCTTAAACTCTTTAAACATTTGTGATCTCTAGTATTGCTTTAGAATCCTTTCAAAAAGATTTCTTTAACTTGTAACTTCCATAGTCCTTTGGGGTAATAGTCTGATGAATGCATTTCTTTTTTAACTCTATATGATTATAAAATTCACTAAATACTGCAATACTGCATAACCACATGATTTTATATATTATGTGTTTAGAGATACACCAAACGCAGAATTACCATCATTTAGCCAGGAAGGTAAAACAAGTGTTGAAAGAACATTGAAATAAGAGCCAGAATATCTCTGCCACTTGTTAGTTCTATTTATATGGGCACGCCTTTCACCTTTGTGTCCTACTGTACAGGGTGATTTTGAAGAGCAAGTGAGAAATATTTTTGAGCAAGTGAGCTCATCTTGAGCTCATCATTTATGAGCTTTTATTTGTAATGAAATAGAATAATAAGACATTTTATAATAAGACATTTTATAATGGGGTTCTATTCACATACTTTGGTGTCGAATTGGAGTAAAGCTACATTGGGGAGAAGCAAAGAAAACTAGATATGAATTTGAAGAGAATGTTATTCAATGATTTAGAGGTAATTGAAGGTTATAAAAATTATTGAGCAATTGCTTGGTTAATTAATTTAAGGATCAGTTAAAATAGATGTGGAGATAAAAGTTTGTGTATAAAATTTATAAACTGGTATATAAACATAATTTTTAAATTACAGATACAGAAGTATTACATCATAACATGCCCTATACAATTTATGATCTTTTTATTTTATTACTAGTGTGCTTAACTAAGAACAAAGTAAGAGCCTAAAGAAGTATATTTTGAGAGAAAGGGAAAAGAATAAAAGAACGTCTTTTCAGTGCTAGGCCCTTTGAAGGTGTCCAACAGGCTGACTCCTAACAATGTTCTTAGAGAATATGTAAACAAGACAACTTTGAATCCACTCATACTATCACCAGAGTCACTAAATTAAAAAATATATATTTATGTGTGTGTGTATATGTATATCTATATTAAATGTAGGTATATTTATATATATAATCTCATTGCCATTCTTCTGAAGTAAATAGGCAAAAACTGCTTCTTCTTCCCCCAGGGATAGTCTCTCTTTATTGCAACTCTCAAAACACTCAAAAAACTATAGTGTTTTGTCCTCAGAGGAATTATCTCTGAAAAGACAGTATTTTAGGGTATAGATTAGGTATTATAAGGTGTATTTCAGAATACAACTTATACCACCCTAAAAACTAGAATCCATAAATATTCACGCATACATACATATGTGTGTGTGTGTGTGTGTTAGTCTCAAGAAGGTTGTTAAATTCTTGTTATTAAATCCCACATAAGATTATCATAACCTGGGTGGTGGTGTTTTTGTTTTGTTTTGTTTTGTTTTGTTTTTAATCTAGTCTTATCAGCCAAATCTACATGAAATCTCTGAGCATTCTTATGGAGACATCATCAGGTTTACCTTAAAAAGATGCCAGATAATTCAGTTTTAACTGCTACCTTTAGATATAAACTATCTGACATCTTATTAAATGAGAAATGGAAATAGGTCTAATTATTTTTTTTCCAATTAAAGAAAGATATTTCATAGAGATTGATTTTTTTTTTTTTTTTTTAAGTAAGCTCTATGCCCAACATGGGGCTTGAATTCACAACCCTGAGATTAGGAATTGCCTGCTCTACGGACTGAGGCAGGCCAGGTGCCCTAAGAAAAGATGTTTCCATTCAGATAGGATAACGTACACAAGAAAGGCACGACAGTCTTTCTTTGAGGTCTTCTTGCCTGTTTTAAATATAAATCTGACATTCCTGCATCCAGAATAAGGATCCAGAATTGGATCCAGAATTGAAACATCCAGAATAAGGATCAGAAGGCAGTAATACTGTCCTTTCTTGCATTTGTCCAGTTTTAGAATGTTTTAAATAAACACAAAACCCAGCAATGTTAATGTTCCCTTAATTTTAGTATGTTGGAAAAAGAACATTGTATATCTACAAACTAGTTGACACAAGAAGGATCACATTCCACCATTGGCAAGTTTAAAACTCCTTTTATCCTGTCTGTTTTTGGAAGAGTGTCTGTCAGTAAAGCAGTCTTTGGAAAACAGTTGAAACAGCAGTATCTAAATAAGACAACATGTGCATGTTGCAACCATTCAGCTTTGTTTTAGCTAAGTGTCCATTTTTACATTGTTTTCAGTTCATTTCTTTTTTAAATCATTAAAAACAGCTGTGTTTACCAAGATAGAAAAGAAATAGGTCAAATTAAAAGCTTAAATGAATCATGATTGTTAACTAAGTTAAAAAAAACCTGTATGTCCATTGCATTCTCCTTAATGGATGACACTTCTCAGTTTGTTGGAAGAACTTTGATTATTTACAAGATGACGACAAACCCTGAGAAGGATCATCGTTATTAAGGCTGTGTAAGGCTAGGTCTTTATTCACATCATTGCCCTGACTCCTAAATTGCAGTTCCGAAAAGGTGTAACAATTTTTTGTTTTCAAATCTTATTAAAATATAATTCAAGAATGTTAGTGACTCTAGTGAACATTGGATGTCTATGCTAATGACACCTACTGTAGTTACAACCCTAATTTTCACTTACAGAACTTTTCTGCACAGTGCTACCTTTGATTTTTTAAATAAACTCACCAAAAAAGCCCTTCAAAATACCTAAAAATGTTATAAATACATATTTTCTGTCATTTTTTTCTTGCATTAGGGTGCCTCCTTTTCCTTTAGACTTAATAGAAAGAACTTAGTGCTAGTTTTTCTCTTTTCCCTCACCAACCTTTTGCAAAATGAAATGAATATAATTACTCATGTCATCTTTTGAAAGACTTTGCTCAGAATATATATTTTCATGGTGCTGCTAAATAATGCACCAGAATTCAGTTTATCCCAAAAAATAATTCCCTACTTTCTTTGTTACGGTTTACGAAAATAATGAAAGTTTTTAAAGTTTCTTTAGATTAAGTTTTAAACATCGATGGGGCACCCTAGTTTTTGTTGACAGATATTACTAGAATATTCTTGTAGAATGTGCATCTTCCTAAGTAATTTTTTTCCAAAATAAAGTCTTATAATTTGAAAAGTAAAGACCGAGGATTGAAAAGCCCTGTGTATTTTCATCATGTATACTGTGGCCCACCAATAGCCCTGATTTTAAAGGTACACCTTTACAACTTAACTAGGAAAAATATTCCTTCAGTAATTCTAAACAGTTCCTATATTTGTAGGACTTTAGCCAACCCAAGCTTTCAAAGTATATGTTCCTCATCATTGTCTTCAGTGCTTTCCAAGTATTTTAAAGTATCAGAGTACATATTTCATATTTCATTATCACTCAGCAGCACAAGAGTAATAGCTTTAGTATAGCATACATAGCTGAAACTCAGACATTCATTTCTGTCCTTAATTTCAACATTTAACTGCCATCTGTTCTTCTCCCTTTTTTCTTTCATTTTTCTGTTTCTGTTTTTCCTCATGCTCTGACATTAAAGTGGTTGCACTGAAAAGACTGCCCTTTTTGAGGAACAGACCGAAGGATAAAGACAAAATGAAGGCCTGCTACCGTCGTTCCATGTGTAAGACTTTATGACAGTTCAGCTTCTTTCAAATGACCACACTGGCTTCCATTACTAATTTTTCACTAACCTTTCTCTGGACGGTGCCAACTGTCTTTATTTTGCAAAAGTGCAGTCTTCCTCTAATTCAAGGAGCTGGAAGAATATTTTTTTTTCAAAACTGGCACTTAATTTGCATTATATGTATATTCACTGGTACATATACATGCATATGTTTAGTCATACATGTAATATACATTTCCAGTCCTTTCTAAAAGTTGGCAGAAAAAAAAAACTTTAATTTTCTATGCCATAGAAATTTTTTTCCCAAAGAAATTTACTTAAAATATAACAAAACCTTTAGCATTAGGACTTTATTTTCTTAATGAAGTAAATTAAAAAATAAATAAAATGGCCTGTAACCCTTGAAAACGTTTGTCATTCTTTATATATTAATACTCTAGTTTTATTTTTTTAAGAAGAATGGGTAATTACATAATCACATTAAATGTCTGTCACTTTGGATATCATTTCTTTCAGGTTTTTATTGAATGGTATACTTATTTGATTCACAAAATGAATGATTTCTTCAGTAACCTGCTCTGACCAAGGACTCTTTGTCATTTTCAATAATGATGCTGTATAAGAACTGCTCTCCATCTTACCTTTATTCATTCCATTTCTGTCATCACAAAACCACATTATGAAGGCTTCTAATTATATTTGCACATCACTGCGCAAAAGCATGGCAGTTGTACAGAGTAAAATTCCTTTTCCTATCTTTAAAGGGGGTGGAGGTGGGATAAAAATATTGACTGAAATTTATCAGCCTTTGGCCTACTCATTTCATTCAGCTGAATGCATGTCATAATTTGAATGACCTTGTGGTTATAGTTTTCGATGTTCACTTGCATTAATCCATAGACAAAAACCAGATCATTTATAATACAAGATAGGAATAAAAGCAGATACATTAACCATGCTGATTCATTTGCTTTCATTTGCATCCCAGCCATGAATGACCTGGTGCAGTCCATGGTCCTAGCAGGAGGACAGTGGACAGGTAGTACTGAGAATTTGGAGGTTCCTGATGATATTTCAACGGGTAAAAGGAGAAAAGAATTGGGAGCTATGGCCTTCTCTACTACAGCCATCAACTTTTCAACTGTCAACTCTTCTACAGGCTTCAGATCCAAGCAGTTGGTTAATAATAAAGGTATAGGCCGTCTGCTCTTTGCACTGTGGTGTAACTGTTGGCAACAGGAATTTTAATTTGACTTTCCCATGTGTACTTTTTTGGCAGCAACAACCTGAAATAATTATCAAAACAATCGATTTAATTTGAGAGAATTTTCAATTTCACTTCATTTCAAAAATTTAAAACATCTTACAAATAATTAAAATCTTTCCTAGGCCTTTCATAATAAACAGTTTGTGAACTAACAAGGAAAGGAAAAGTAAACCATGTAAAAAGTGAGAAAGGGAAAAAGTGATGATAGGAGCTTAAAAACAAACACAAAAAAAAACAACTAAAAACACTAAAACTTTAAACAGAGAGAACCACGTAGAACAGCCCAGGCTCTTGATTTGCTTTGCAGGGTCCTTGGGGAGATTATTTCACTGCTACTGGTGTTTTCCCTAAGCGAGTCAACTTTCATCACAGCCATTCTGTTCTTATTCCTAGTTCCAGTTTCTGGTTGAGTCTATGAAATATGTTAAACCAAGATGTATTATATGTGCTTGAAAAACAGTATCCATAACTGCATAAGGGAAATTTTATAAGGGTTTTTTTGTTTGTTTGTTTAAAAACATTTTTATATCCATTTTGTTATTTTATGTAGATACTACATCCTTTGAAGACATAAGTCCACAAGGTATTAGTGATGATTCTAGTACGGGATCAAGAGTTCATGGTAAGATATGAACTTTATTTAGAGAGCACATGTTACATACAGAATGGGAATGCTAAGACTTTCGCATCAATTTGGTGAATGTTGCGTTGCCGGCAAGCATGTGTTCTCTAACCTGCATCTCATAGCTTCTTCTGCCATTTCTTCAAAACCTAATACTCCCTTTTGCCCCTCTGGAGGTTGTTGCTTCATCTAGGTAGTCTCTGTTTTGGTCAAGGTCATTTATAAAATATACCTGCACAATGCTTAAATGTAATTTTGTTGCCATTATGCTATAAGGTTAAAGTTATGAGAAACACATTTTACTATTGGTTTTAAAAATACTTAGGTAAAGGGATGAACTCTTCTGAAACCACATTTTCTGCGGTGTTGAGTATATCATATTGTTAAGTTTCTGGAGAGATCTGCAAAGTCATATCTTGCCAAACTAAATTATTAATAATAAATGGATAACATGTTCAGGGGATTTCATATGTAAGCAAGATTTTAAGAAACAGGGTAGGGTTGTGTTAACTGTGCAGTTGTTTTCCCTTGTGCGGGTAGGAATACAGGACATCAACTGCAGATGCTCATGTTCCTCCTGTTCATGGCATTTCTGCAGTGTGCAGGGTTCCTTTTCTGATCTGTTGTAAGTGACCTAATCATTAGCACTTTTTTTTTTTTTTTTTTTTTTGGCGTGTCACCCTATTCAAACAGTTCTGGTATCCATCTAGAAAACATTTCCAAATCTAAATATATATTTTCTTTTCTTTTCTTTGAATCTCAGTGTTTCAGAAATGTCTTATTCTAAAGTGTCTAACTGAACTATCTGTAAATGCCTTTCTTCTCTAATCTGTAAGATTCAATTCTGTGGGCATGCTTAGCCTGTGAAAGTATGCATGATTGCTTCCTCAAAGCATTCTGTGATCAGAATGTAAAGTTCAATGTCATTAGCTGGAAGTTTATCACACTGTCTCCTGATTTTTTCATTTAGCTTCAAGACCAGCCAGCCTTGATAGTAGCAGAACATCCACTAGCAATAGTAATAATAATGCTTCACTCCATGAAGTCAAAGGTACGCTGTAGGTAAATTTACTAATATTGTCCATCCATTTCCAGATTTTATAATAGAAGATCGATGAAGTTTCTGGGGTAAAGTATGAAATCCAAATCATCTATGTTTGGAACATAGTTCCTTAGAACATTTTATACTTAGCATTGTGATACATTGTATACCATGTATATAAATGTAAAAACAGGAGCAGTTATTTTGGTTTCCATTTTTCATCTTCACAGATAAAATGTTTTTATGGCATCTTTAACTTCAAAAATATCTGTAGGCCCTTATTTTTCTTATGTTTTGTCTTCATCATGAAAATGGTTGTCCTTAATTTTCTCATGATGCATGTACATTGAACTCTATAGAAGGTGCTTTAGAAATACTTTCAGCTTTATTTATTCATGAAATAGGGGGAAATAATTTTTTTTTAATTTAAGAAAACAAATGTGTGTGTGTAGAACAAGACCCAGATGGATGCACATAGCTTCTATAAAGAATGCAAGGTTTTTTAGAATTTTTATTTTTTTTTATTTTTTTTTATTTAAAAAAAATTTTTTTTTTTCAACGTTTATTTATTTTTTGGGGCAGAGAGAGACAGAGCATGAACGGGGGAGGGGCAGAGAGACAGGGAGACACAGAATCGGAAACAGGCTCCAGGCTCTGAGCCATCAGCCCAGAGCCTGACGCGGGGCTCGAACTCATGGACCGCGAGATCGTGACCTGGCTGAAGTCGGACGCTTAACCGACTGCGCCACCCAGGCGCCCCAAGAATGCAAGATTTTTTAAATTAATTTTTTAATATGCATTCCAGGGTGAGGTTTTATGTAAATGTCTAGAGGCTTTGACTAATACTTTTTTCCTTAAAGGTATACTGCCTACTCAGATTCTGGAATTGTTTAATTGATTATAAAAGTTGGTTAAAGTATTCTCTACAGTCCAGAATTGTCCCATTATAATGAGTGCATGTGTTCTGTTGCCTTTTGTATTATAAATTTTTTAATGTTTATTTATATTTTTGAGAGAGAGAGAGCATGAGTGGGAGAGGGGGAGAAGCAGAGACGGAGAAGTAGGCTCCATCCATGAGATCATGACCTGAGCCAAAGTCAGATGCTTTTAACCAACTGAGCCACCTAGGCGCCCCTGCTTTTTGTATTATAAAATCATTTTGTCTCAGTTGTAATTTTATCGTTAATGCTATGACTCTGTTGTAGTGGTCTGAAAAATCTGATCTCAAGAAGGGATTATCTTTTCATTTTTATAATCATATTCTTATATGTAGTAGAAGAATACAGTCTGAAAACTGAAGTATTTCTTTTCTGATTTGAAAATTCAAGGAAATCTTTTTTTTGTAAAATGTTACATAACTTGAGCCAAATTCTTCCGTGACCCACTTTACTTTGTATTATTAGTTGTGTTGTCCATCTTGATATTATATCTATACAGTTTGCTGTCATTTAGAATCCAAGGAATAACATAAACATTAGGGAGTTTTTTTTCCAGAACTAGTAATTTGCATTCTATACAGTTGCTTAACCTCAGTTGAGCCTTTTTTTTTTTTAACTTTTTTTATTTTTGAGAGAGAGAGTGAGCACGGGCTTGAGTGGGGGAGGGGGAGAGATAGAGGGAGAGACAGAATCTGCTGCAGGCTCCAGGCTCTGAGCAGTTAGCACAGAGCCAGAGGTGGGACTCGAACCCACAGACCATAAGATCATGACCCAAGCTAAAGTTGGATGCTAAACTGAGTCACCCAGGTACCCCTCAGTTGAGTTTTTTAAGACTACATAGCCACCATACCAACAGTGTAAAGCAGGGACAATCAGATGATTCAGACATTAAAGAATAAAATAAAACATATTTGACTTTATATTTTTACTGGAATTTGCTAAGTAACTATATCATATCTCCATTGATTTTCCTTTATATATGCCTGCTGTTTCAATTAAAAAAAATTTATTTAAGGTTATTCATTTAGGATGAATGAGGAAGCTTCAAGTAAAGAATGAAGATTTCATAGAGAGGCAAGGAATTCGAATTTTTAACCTCTGAATTTTTATTCTGGTTTTAACATTTTGATGTAATTTAAAAATCATATTATCCTGTTTTGTTCTAACTTGTGAGGTGTTTTACAGTGACTTGAACTGAGTTTTTAAAATGTATTATTGGGGCACCTGGGTGGCTTGGTCAGTTGGGCATCCATCTTCAGCTCAGGTCATGATTTCATGGTTTGTGGGTTCGAGCTCCATGTTGGGCTTGTGCTGACAGGCCGGAGGCTGCAGCCTGCTTTGGATTCTGTGACTCTCTCTGCCCCTCCTCTGCTCGCGCTCTGTCTCAAAAATAAATAAGCATTAAAAAAAAATTTTTTTTTAATAAAAATGAAAAAATGTATTATTTTTTTATTCACTTACTCATCAAATGTAATGAGTGCCTGCGTCATATGTTTGGCTCTGGGTGTAGTGGTAAAAGCAAGTATTTGTCCTTGTGGAACTACTGTCTGTCAATTTAACAAAATAAAGAGACTGTGGTAGATAGTGTTAGACTGTTGAAAGATGAACACAGTTTAGTAAGCATATCTAAATGAAATTTGAAAGTCAGTTTATTCGTAAGAATCCAGTCCACAAATGTGATTACTTATATAGTTTTAATCTCATTTCTGTTACCAAACTCTTAACACAGCATTTACTCCAAAAGCAGGTGCAGTTAATATCCAAAGCAGGCCACAAAGCCACAGCAGTGGAGAATTTAGCCTGCTTCATGATCATGAAGCTTGGTCCAGCAGTGGTAGCAGTCCAATCCAATACTTGAAAAGACAGACCAGATCAAGTCCAATGCTCCAGCACAAAATGCCTGAAACGTTAGAGAGTCGAGCACATCACAAGATCAAAACTGGTTCTCCTGGAAGTGAAGTTGTTACTCTACAACAGTTTTTGGAAGAAAGCAACAAGCTTACCTCAATACAGGTTAGTTTTGTCTATGGTAACATTCATTTAGATGGACACTACAAGTTAAAATTCTTTGAACTATAGAGCTTCTATCAAGACATGTTTATAAAGAGATACTAGCAATTTTATATCACACAGTGTAATATATCAGGAAAGTAAAAGCTTGGCTGCATTCACTAATCTGCTGTGGTATCTTTTTTAACAGATAAAGTCCTCAAGTCAAGAGAATCTTTTAGATGAAGTAATGAAAAGTTTGTCTGTCTCTTCTGACTTTTTGGGAAAAAACAAACCAGTTAGCTGTGGTCTGGCCAGGTCAGTAAGTGGAAAAACCCCAGGAGACTTCTATGATAGACGGACAAGTAAGCCTGAACAATTTATGAGACCCAGTCCTCGAAAGACTGAAGATGCCTACTTCATTAGCTCTCCAGGAAAACCTACCTTAGGCACTCAAGGAAAGATAAAATTAGTGAAAGAAACTTCTCTGTCACGACAATCAAAAGATAGTAATCCTTATGCCACTTTACCTCGTGCAAGCAGTGTGATCTCTACTGCTGAAGGAACTACTCGAAGGACAAGCATCCATGATTTTCTGACCAAGGACAGTAGACTACCTATATCAGTTGATTCTCCACCAGCTACTGCTGATAGCAACATCACTGCAGCATCTCGTGAGTACCATTTACTCCAGTGGTCCTCTCATGCACCTCACAGTACAACCCATGCTGTGGGTTCTCATGCACAAAACAATTCAGCTCCAGATAAGCCCAAGTCGCTATATGCCCAGGCTAGAAACTCAAGAACAGAAAAGTCACATTTTCTAAACGAAACCTTTGCCATTATTAATATGTCTAATGATGCATTTGGAATATCAGCTAAAGATAGCGTAGAGTCATTTACTATGGCTAATCCATCTCAGCCATTTTTATCTCTGAATACAGAACTAGTTAGTAACATAAGTGGGTTACCTCCCAGGCCAATCGCCAGAGTAACTGACCAGGCTTCTGCCATTTTGGATAAAGCTGCAAAGAAAGATAATGAACAGTTTTCTGATAATCAGAACCCTAGTAACAGTAACCCACAGTCTTCTGCAGATAGCAATAATCTTATCACTACTGCATGCCTCTATCCTGATGACACAGAATCTGCATTGTTGGTTTCTGAGGATAATCAGACTGTTTGGTATGAATATGGTTGTGTATGATCAAAACTGCACAATATAATACTGATGTTACTTGATATGCACTGTGCTTCTCTAATCTGATTTGAAGAGCTGCTGTTGAAAAGTATCATTTGGCTAGGCTTATATTTTTATTTTTAAATTGTGGCATAGTGTTCATTTGTACATGACGGCATGTATATAAATATGAATGTGTAACCACACCAAAGCCTGCATGAAATATTAATTACATTGTACATTTTTTGCATGACTTTAAAATCCTTAACAATACATGCTCCTCTTTCTCATTTCTTGTCACCCGATAAGAGATTGTTACTTTGATACCTTGGAAGCATATTAAAATAGTTGCATGCTATAATTACCAAGAAGGCATTTCCAAGTCATATTTACTTTGTTACTCCCAAAAAGGAACGTTCATTTTCTCCTTCCCTCCTCTTTGCTCCTCTTCCCTCGCCGTTCTTTTCACTCCTTCTCCCCCCCAAATGTGCACTTCACATTGCACATGTACAGCATTAAGGAAAATACGTAAAAAGATGTCATTTTCTTTTGCCATTTAACTATGTCTTCTGTCCTCCTGTTTTATTTTCAAAGAAATAGTCACTCCCTTAACACTTTTGTAGCAAAATGTTAACTACTGCCCATATTTATAAACTTGTTCAGATTTAGAACATTGTTGTTACTCATAAATTGAGTGTAATTCTTTAAAAACCCCATCAAATTTACCTGTTACTTACACAGTGACTAGGAGCATTTGTATTAATTGTGTTTCTTCTCTTCACTTTCCTTCATCTGTTAAGTGTAAGAGCTCAAGGACCATCTTTCCTTCAAGATGACTTTTTAAATTGGAATCAATTAATATATTAGTTTTGCCAGTTCTTTTTTTATAGGGTAAAAGAAATAAATAATAGTGTGTTGAAAATTTGCATTTTTACTTCTGTTCAAAAAGGATAGCAAGTTTACAAAGTAGTAAAGATTGTTGCTTCAATAATCTATTAAATTACGTGTCTGTCCTTAAAATAATTTCTTAAAAGAGTACATTGTGCTAAAATAAAATTAATGTTAGAATTTGTAACTATTTAAATAAACAAGTGTGTTTTTAGTGGAACAAATTTTAGAACTAAAAATAAATATAAACTTTTAGCTAAAAAAAAATAACCATATAAGATAAAATATTTCATAATTCTGACTTAAGTGTCAATAAACTTTAAAATTATCTTGCTGTGGTCAAAACACTTTTAAAGTAAAATAAGCTAAACTTGAATCTCTAACTCCCAGAATTTTACAAAACAAAACAAAACACGTACTTGATTCACTTACTTCTGGAGAGAAGTATACCTTAGCTCTTTCTCTGGAATGGTTTTGACATTTTGATTCAGCCTAAATATTACTGCTAATAACTCAGCCTGGCATCTGGAAGCAATGCTTTGAAATGTAACTTTCTAAATGGGGGTGAGGGGGATTACTATTTCATACATGTTGTTACATTAAATTATTATGGTTATTAATTGGGCCGTGGAAATAGAATCTGTAAAGAATCTTTGCATAATGAAATTTGTATCCTTTGTAAATTAAACTATTCTCTTGTACTTACAAAAGGTCATTGTGGGGAGTAGGCCCTCTCCAATCAGAAAATTTTCATATTTTTTACTACCACCTAATATACTTTTTCCATGAATACATCCGTCTGTTTTATTGCTGGTTGTTTCACAGTCAGTCCTAACATTAAAAATGTTTTTGGCATCTCTTTTTTATAACCTATTAATAACCTAATAATAAAACTTAACGGTAAATATAAGTGAGATTAGATTGGAGCCAAATAGATTAAAATGGAATAATTAGTGTTACTACTTTTCCACTTTGAGCCAAGAATTATTTCATCACCATTTCAACTCTTTAGATATTATATATCTGGCCATGAACTTTAAATTTGAAATATTAAATTTATTTATGCAAAATACAGAAATTGTTGTATCATAAAATTGTGATTATTTTACAAAATTAGACTTACCAGAAAGAAGTATTTCCAATACAAACAAATGGCTATAGTTTATAATTTATATTATAACATGTTTTCAAAAGGAACATATACATTGTACTGTAAGACAGGTCCATACCATGTCCATAGGTCTTGAGGATTTTGAGAATACAGGCTACACTTCCTCTAGAGACTACCACCAGTTGTGGAGGCCTAAAATTTTTTCAAAACACTAGCATAGCGCTTGGAATCAAATTTTTAGCATGGGAAGAACCTTAGAAATATTATTCAGCCAGCATTTCCCATGCTGTAAGAAATCAACATACTACTTGCTATGAGTCTTACAAAGAAGCACCAATATTGTAACTTTTTAATTTTTTTTTTAAGATAAAAATGAAGCAACTCTGACCCAGTTGAACAGCTGTACTTTCTTCCTCTAAGACATCTCATAAATATCTTATGATTCATAAAGGGTTATTTGGAAAACTATTTGGAGATTCACTACCCTGATTTTAGATGAAACTGCATGGCATTCACATTCCTGGCCTGGGTTTCTAGAAATTATACCCTTATTATTTGTCTGACATTGTAAACTGACATTGTTAGGTATTGGGTTCCCTTTGACCAAAACAACTTTAGCTGTAACAGTGAAAGTAGGTATATTATTTGCCTGTAAAATTTGCCTTAAGACCTGGTTTTCTCAGTAAATAAATACTTCATTGTGGATGTCTCTGTGGCTGCATGCAAGATTATTTTTTACTTTAAAACTATTTGTGACTATTTAGTGAATAAACATAGTAAGAGGACACAAGTATATTATTTCTGGCTTTTAAACTATAACAATCAGTCTTTATGTAATAAGATGTCTATAATATTAATAAATTTCCCAGTTAGATTCTTTCTTCTTGCCCTACTCAACAAGAGCTCATTAGTTTCTTATCTTCATGAATTATATTATGTTTAACGTTTGATTAAATAACATGAAATGCTTTTCTCCTGCAGATGTGGACAAAGTACAAGAAAGCAGAAATTCAAAAAGCAGGTCTAGGGAGCAACAAAGCTCCTAATTCTATTACCCACTACATGACATGTGGGCCAAGTGGTGAGTTTCTTCCTTACAATGTAAATGAGATTAGTCTGTCTCATTTATACAAACTAACCGTGTTACGTACAAGAACAAGTGCACATTGCATTAACAGATGTAAATATTGCTTGCTTAATTCATGACTTTCTGTCCTACTTACTAGTTGAGGAAGATTTATTGATTGATGTAAGCTTTTGCCTATCAGTGCAGGAAACAAACCTTTAAAAATTATTTTTATTTTTTTTTCTTAATTTAAATTTAATTTTACTAGTAAATGTTTTCGGAATTCCTTTTTTAATTTGAAGTTGTTTTTTTTTTTCTTTTATAGGAATCCACTCCCCCCCCCACCCCCCACAATGTTCTTGATAATTGAGAATAAACAGTAAATTACATACCTTTTCTGTGAAGAGCCACTCAAAGAAAAATTGTCTCTTTCTGTCACTCATTTCTATAGAAGACCTATCTGGTGCATGTTGTTCGTATAGTGCCTGCTCTGTATTTTATATCTCTCTTATCTTCAAGCTTTTCTTACATTTTCTTTCTTCTTTCTACCTTCCAACTAAATACAGAGAGAAAAGTGTCCTTCAGTTTCTCAGTGTGAAGCCTTTATTTCTGAAGTAACAAGACACCCAACTATAGGAATCATTTTAAAAATCTTTAAGGAGACTTTAAACAATCCTTCGTGACTAGAGCAGGGAAGAAATACAAAACCTTCATTCCTTCCTTGAATCAAGGAGCACTACTGGAGTCAACTGCCAAAATTTTTAGAAGGTTTTAGGACTTACTATACATTGTATTGTTAAGATCTACTGAATAAAGGATGTTCTCTCTCTAAGGACCAAGTGTTTTAAGGTTTCAAGAAGTACTCCAAGAACAATCTACTTCTTTCGTCATTTGTTTATGAATTTATCCATGTTTGCTTAATGCTTCTGCTAAGTATTAGCCAGAATCTAGCCATTTATATTTAGTTGTGTAAATCTAAAATGCTGTATGTTGTGGAATGTACTATATATCAAGATACAGAGAACATTGTTTTGGCATGTCAGAGCCTTATTTGGTTAGCAGACTGCATGTGTTGGTATTCTTTTTTTTTTTTTTAACTAATTATTTTGATGCACTGCAAAAGAAATTCAGTTTATAAGATAAATCTGAAAAATAGGAGTTATAAAAAATTTACAGTAATATTAATATTTCCATATTCCTCATTAAGCAACACTAAGCATTCACAATCCAAGGTAATTAAAGAGAGTGTTTTTCTGAAACTTTTTTAGTAAGGTGGTTTTCCAGCAAATTGCATTCCCAAGATAAAACTGTTGTGTTTTAATTCATTTCCCTTCTTTAGTATTGGGTTATATATGTGTGTTTGTTTTTTTAACATGAGAGCTGACTATTGCTTAAGAAGTTTTCTTATGGCAAAAAAAAAAATGTAAATAATTTACTATGATCTGCATTTTGCCAGGAACTCATTTATTTTTAAGGTTATCACATATTAATAAGAACTTTTCTGTTTTTGTCCTTTATAATATTGCATTAAAGTTGGTAACTGTTATTGGTACTTTTGAAATATTTGTATGCATTTGTTACCTTAAACATTTGAAAGAAGCACAAAAAAAGTAGATTTAGTTAACCCAGGGAAACATCAGTTTTTTTGTAGCTCCAATTTTATATCACAGTTTTATTTTCTTATGAAATCAAAAAAGGCATTGATACTTATTAATGCAAATTCATTATTTAACATAAATATCAGAATAATCTTAAAGGTCTGAAATGAGAAAGATAGTGACTTTTTTATTTTAACAGTGTGCTTCTTAGGCTCTCATTACCAGCTCTAAAAAATCTTTTTGGAACAACTCCATATTCATAGTGTGTGGTTTAGGAACTGTGTGTTTCATCACTAACCTAGTAACTGTGAGAAATGTGTATGTTCTCTCCTCCCCACCCCATTCTCTCCTTCCCTCTCTCTTTCCCACTCTCTATCCCTTTCCCTCTCTGTTTTTGGTAGGCCAGTAGCAGTATTGTGTTCATAGTCTACTTTCAGAAAGACTTACTAATGAAAAGAAAGACAGCATGTATAGTTGACCAGAAATTAAAAAGGAATTTAGAGAACTTGGACTTATCTTAATGCCACCATTAACTTAGGTTTTGCCGCCAAATAATGCTGTAAACTCTTGGATGAAAGGTGCTATGTAAATGTAAATACAAAGGATTCTTACTAAAATACAAATATTGCACAACAGACATATTTAAAACTTAATCTCTAGACTTTGAAACATCTCTCTCCATTGTGACTCCCTAGATTCAAGTATCAAATTGATAATGGGCATCATGGCAGTCTAGAGATACTTGCATGTAAAAAATGTAAATTCATTTTTAGGTGGATAAATTGAAAGTAAATATAGAAGTTATGTTTTAGCTAAATACAGTAAGTGGGTAACTTAGATTTATATTAACTAGCATCTAATTTGCACAACTAGGACACATCCCAGGACAGTTACTAAAAGTTGGAATTTAATGAGTAGGAGTTTGCCCAGTGAGATGAATCATACCACAGCTTGACCTCTCCAGAACACTAATGTCCTAAAATAGAGAACCTGTTGATTTAAGCAGCACATTATTGCTTCATGCAGAAAATGCTTAGGGACAGCCTATATAGTACTGAGACTCAGTATGCTGACCCTGAGAAAGTGCAGTTAGAGACAACCAAGGAAATACTTAAGACCGCAAAAGTAGGAATATTCTCAATTATATTCATAACCTTTTTCATACCATTTCAAGGAAGGACTAGATAATAACCTCATGAATACTTTACTTTCTCCAAAAGATTCAGAAGCAAACTTACTAGGAGGTCACTCTTTTCCCTTAAACTGCTTCTACCAAACAAAATGTTTGGCCACCTAGAAACTTAAGGGGGCCTGACATGCTTTTATCTGGCTGTCTTCTAAATCAACACCTAACCCCTTAGGAAACTGAAAAATTAATATACAGGGTAATAGCTTCGGCAAAGAGCTCCAATAAAGTGCTTCAGATCTGGCCATGTGGAAGTGTTTGGTCCACGTTTTGAACTGGTGGTTACCAAAGAGTTCACGTAACAGGTTTGTATGTAGCACCTTTCATGCAAGGCATGGTAAGAGCCTATTAAAAAATCACTGTGCATATTACAGAATTGCAGCCACCTCACAAATGAAGTATTAGAGCCTGCACTGTCTTAACAGTTTATGTCAGGAAGTGAAAAAGATACTGTACCAAATCTGGAATTACAATGAGGAGTAATAATGTATGCTAAATGACTTTGTGTTTTAAGTGACTTTTTATGAGAAAAGTGAATTTTTGTGTTTTTTTCTGCTTCACTTAGTCCTGAGATGTATTTTTTCTTTAAGCCTTGAATGAGTAATACAAAAGGAGCCCATTTTGTGATATAAACCTTGATGTACATGTTGAGATATTGGGACAACAATGAAAATGCCTTAAAAGGAATGCTTATGGATAAAGTTGCACTTATAACAGCACCCTTTAACAAAACCTGATTTTAAATTGTCTTTTTCATTTCTAAGGGTTCTCTTTCAATGTTTGCCATTGTACTTAAAACTGTTATTAAATACCAAATCAAATAATACAAAAGCTGTAACATTTCCTTTAAAAGTAATGCTACTAAGGGATTTGGAGTTGAATGGCAGTGATTTTTACTTGACAATACCTATTATCAGCCACAGAAATCCAGTTCGTAACAAACCATCATATGGTTGTCTTTTTAAAAACATTTCATTACTTTTTAGTTAACTTTATTACTCCTAAAAAAAATTAAGTTGGTTTAACATTCACTTAAACTGATGGATACAAAAAGAAATAAAACAAAGAGGTGATTTTTATAACAAGTGGTTAATAATCATTTAAAAATCGTAAGATACAATTTAGCTAAGTATTATCTTTCCTTTTCCTTTACCCTGGAAAACTTTTTTTCAGACATAACCCATAACTTTGTTTAGATGATTCTGTCTAAATCTTTCAGGGATGAGTATTAGAGGTTTAGGAAGAGAATCGCATCTATCAGTTCTGTCAATCTTCACATAGGTGTCAATACAGTAATACATTGCAGGAAGCAATTTCATTTTCACGTATGTAAGACTTTGGGAGGCAAAATGTTAGAGAAGGCTCCCAGCTGTGTTTTCTTGGGCAGGTTAGTCTTTCTGAGCCTGTTGTCACTATAAGATGAGGAGGGTACTAACTGCCTTAGTGTCTTTGCCTCTATTATTCATTAAGCCTTCATTTTATGTGCAAATCAACCTAAAATTTCCTCTTAGAGATGTAGTAAACAGTAGGTAAAAAGTAACATGGCACCTTAAAATAAGTTATCATTTATGGAAAATATTTCTTAAATTCATTCTTTATAGAAACTCTGCCACAAGTAAACTTGTAGTTCTAATCATATGTATCAAGAACTGACAAGTTTTTACTCTCATTTTGCCTTTAAGTAACACAAATTGGTACAGAGTACACTATCACTACCAGATGGAAATTACTTTTGACTGACCAAACAGGATAATATGATTACCTCACGACTATCCCATTTGATTGTACTGGAGGAAAATGTGAAAATTTTCTTGACGAGATCTCTAGACTACTTGTGTAGTTTAGTCTACCTCAGACCTTCAACTAATGTTTTGTTTCAAGTGAAAAAGTATGTTTCTCCACAATTGAAGGGGGAAATGAGTAAAATTTAGGACAGAAAAAACTTGTTCCAAGTATGTTTACATTTCTAACCTCTCAAAGACTAAACAGATCTTTCCTTAATCCTCATTCCCCAAAGATAACCACTATCAATAATTTAATCTATTCCTGTATTTTTTCTCTATGTACAATATATGTATAATTTCATATATGCTGTTTTTGCAAGTTGCTTTTTTCAAGTACAGTAAACACCCTTAAGATGTAAAATAGTTGATCTTAGTTAAACTAACCTTAATTTTGTTGTTAATCTACTCTTAATTGTGGAAGCCATTCCTTTAATGAGTAGTTGTCATGGGAGAGATAGGAGGTGAAATCTGAGCTAAAATGACCTCAATACATTTTTTTTTTTAAGTTATTTATTTATGGGGCATGGGGAGGGGGGAGGAGTAGGGGCAGAGAGGGGAGAGAGAATCCCAAGCAGGCTTATGCTGTCAGCACGGAACATGATATGGGGCTCAAACCCATGAACTGTGAGATCGTGACCTGAAATGAAATCAAGAATCATATGCTTAACTGACTGAACCACTCAGGCGCCCCTCAATACCCCTTTTCAAAAGCAGCTCCTTTTAGAGGGCATCTGGCTGGCTCAGTCAGTAGAGCATGTGACTCTGGATTTCAAGATTGTGAGTTTGAGCCCCACATTGGGTGTATGTTACTTAAAAGAATTTTATTTTTAAATTTTTTTTCAACGTTTTTATTTATTTTTGGGACAGAGAGAGACAGAGCATGAACAGGGGAGGGGCAGACAGAGAGGGAGACACAGAATCGGAAACAGGCTCCAGGCTCCGAGCCATCAGCCCAGAGACTGACGCGGGGCTCGAACTCACGGACCGCGAGATCGTGACCTGGCTGAAGTCGGACGCTTAACCGACTGCACCACCCAGGCGCCCCTAAAAGATAATTTTAAAAAGCAGCTCCTTTTAGATGAAATGTCCCTCCTAAAATTAGTCACCAAACAAAGGTGCTAAATATTCTTATCACTTTTAATGCTTTCTATAAATAAAAAATAAGAAAAACAACTTTCAGAAAGAAGTGTATTCTAAATATCAGTCCAATTAGTTTTTATCAAAATTTAGTATTATGGGATCATGTCCTGTCTTCTTCACAAATGTGAGAAAGTCTTCAGGGCTCAATCCCATGGTTGCAGCATTGGTCATTGGATGAAAGTACACCTTTTCATGTCCACCTTCCAGAAAAGCAGAATCCAGAACAAATTTCACATCTCCATCATCACAGAAGAGTGCCAAAGGTGTGGCACAGCCTTGGCCAACTTTTAGTTTTTCTAGCATGGCTGTTTCATCAGCAAACCGAAGATTTCCACTCCCAACACCTAACTGCTTAGCAAGATCATTTAAATTAACTTGTCTATCATGAAGAACTGTCACCAGCCAATAGCCTTTTTTCTTCTTGTCTTTAAGGAATAAGTTCTTACTATGTGCTCCTTTCAAATGCTGGATATGAGGCATCATTTCTTCAACTGTAAACACCTGTAAAATATCACACGAAAAGTTTTAAAACAATGCATGTGCACACTGCACATATACACAGCTATATGTACTCTGCTTGCTGGGTGAAAACAAGGTTAGGGGAATAATCAATGCCATAGATTGTCACTGGTAGAGACCCATTTCCAGCCCGTTACCAAATAACACACCTTGCTACCTCAATCCCTACTGTGAGGACCTCTTAGGCCAGTTCTCTATTCAATGTGCTGGCCAAGCCCTCACATTCCTCAAGTGATTATTTTTTTCTTTAAGTTTCTGGTACTGAAAGTTTATAGCAGCCCAGATTCCTATTCCTTAGCATCCCATTACATCCAGACCATGTGGCAACCTCCACTTTACAAATCTAAAACCACAATGAGAGTGGGAGAGCAGGGAAGACAATGAGACTCTGGACTAACAACATCAGAAGAGCTGGCAATATGCACAGGTAAAGAAGGGGGAGAGTTCCGTATACTATATAGGAGAGAAGGTCAGAAAAAATGATAAAAGTCTTGATGTTAAATGTGTAAGGTTGAAGATTCTGTATTTGTCTACCCTTTAAAGGTCACCATATTTAGTTATCATTAGCTGTCATTCAGCCCTGGAATAAAAACTATGTCCCTGCACCACTCAAGTTACACTGGTTCTGTGAAATGTTTGCAAATCTTCACATCAATATACTATGTTAATACCAAACTCTATAAGCTTGGTGTCCTGCTATATGCAGGATGCCTGAAACATGGTAGGCACTACACAGTTTATTGCCTGCTAACTATATACACATGAAGTGGACACACTGATCCAATATTCCAGACCAATTTAAGATGCACTAGTTTTCAGAATGTGACCAGGTCGCTCCAAGAGAAAACTCAAGTTTTCCCACGATAACATTAGTCCCGAGAGGCCTTTGATGTGCCTGTCGGGTCCCTTCTGTGCTCTGGAACCCGGGAAAGGTCCTAGAACGGTCGCTTCTGCGGCACATTCCCGCTGGGGCATCTGGTCTTCACGGCCCCGCCCAAGACCCCGCAGCGGAGCCCACCCCTCCGGCAGGAGCCCCTCACCTCCGGGTGCTCCACGACCTCTGTGCGGATGGCCAGGGCGCCGAGCCGCTCATCCAGCGCCGCCCGCAACTCGGCACCAGCCATGCTGCTGTCGGGGCCCGCAGACACTGGGCGGAAGAGCGCAACAAACAGGCGTGACTCCCGCGCGGCAGGCCGACTGGAGGCTGGAGCGGAAGTGCCTAGAGGGAGCCGCGCGACCCCGGAAGCCCAGTGCGGCGCCTTCCGGAGGCGGGGTCCTGCAGTGCTCGCACGCCCTTCCTACGGACGCCACGCCCTCTGGAAGTTGTCTTCTGGGACTGCTGTGCGAGACTTGCGGCGTTCCTTGTCCCGCGTTCCACAGGTGGAAGGCACCTGCCTTTTCATAGCCTACCCTAACTCCTCTTGAGGTTCCCTAGGTGCAGCATATCTTTTATTTAAACAGAATCAGGGCCACCTAACAAAGTTAAGTGTGGGGAGCTTTGGAGATCAGGAGAGTATGTGACCGTGGGCTGGCCCCAGGCAGAGAAGCTCCTTACCTCTGACCCTGCCTTCGAAATGTACCTTCTGCCCACTGCTCCTGTACCGGGAGCCACTTAAAGGACATTGACTTGGGAGAGTAATGTGCTATTGAAACCATCGGGACAGTTTTTTGCCTGAAATTCCCTTAAGGCCTCTGTATAAACTCAAGATTCTGTCAGGTGCATGCAGAGATCACCGCTGTCCTGTGGCTGCCCAAGTCAAGCCTCCTATTAAGTTTCGTTGCTTATTAAACTTGTCACTAATTAGAATAGAATGGTCTGCCTCTTTCTTCCAGTCTTTCTCCTTGCATTTACTATGTGTGGGGAGAGGAGCAGTTTCAGATTTTACCTGAGGAACTTAGGAGGTTTTAAACCAAAAGGGAGAGAGGAGGGCTCCAAAATCCCTATTCTTCAACAACTTTTCAACTTTTCATTTATAAATTACAATTTTACATTTGACCTTTCCTGAAAGTTACTTTCCATGTGATTCGATCACAAATAATTCACGATGGCAACTGCGTCTCACCTTTTTCAGAGGCAGTTTGCCTACCTCTTGGTGGGATGTTTTCCATTATCCTCTGAAACCCTCACTCACCACTTTTTTTCCCACTAGGTTTCTTTCTAAGAATCAAATTAGAAAGCAGAATAGGAAAGATCACCCATTTGAAGATATGGCACATCCCAAATAATTGTTCTTAAATATTTGAAGATGTTCAAGAAACCCCAAATCCAATCATGGTGAGCGAAGAGTAAACACGGGAAAGAAGAGTTGGAATCTGATTGTAACTAAGACATGTAAGTATGTCCAAAAGTAGGAACACATTAACCAAGGGTAAGATCTCCATGACAGCTGCAAAAGAGAACACAAAGAGCAAAAACTGGCATTTGCATCTCACACATTGTCTAGGCAATTGAATTTTCTGTCATAGAAGTCTCTTTGGAAATGAACTGCCATCCATCAGTTATTTGAGACATGAATTCTCCCAACACACACCACACACACACACCTCTACTCCATCACTGTTCATTTTCTAAAGTCCTTCCACTTCTTACCACTTCCATCACCCTAGCCTAAACTACTATCATTTTCCCACTTGATTGACACTAATGTTCTCTTAATTTAGTCTACTTGTGGTGGAATGACCAAGTATGCTGCTTTAAGCGAGCCTTACAACCAAAGATTTTTATTATAAAATGGAGCCAAATCTGTCTATGGTAAAAGAACTTTATATCACTGCTTAAAAACTATCCTAACCCAGGGTTAATGCAGTAACTGCTTAAAAACTATCCTAGCCCAGGGTTAATGCAATATTTATCTTGCATTATGTCAGCATTGTATTAATTACAAAAGAAATGCTATCCTTGCTATCGTCCTTTGTCTTCAAGGCAAATACAATCTCAAATTTACACCAGACACAACATGAAACAGGTTATATTAAAAATGATCAGCATGAGCTTGAGGAACTAGATATCTAGTCACAGAACTTGAATTTTAAAATGTTATAGAAATCTCACAATTCTAGGATAGGGTTCATATCTGATAAATACATTTTATTTAATTATTTTACAAACAGGAAAAGAATAAGCAAGAAGTCTTGTGGCATTTCTACAAGAAAGTATTGAGGGAAAGACTTTTTGTCATTAGGAGGAGTGTGAATACTGGACAGAAAAGGACAGAATCTGAAATAGGGAGGTGGAAAATGGAGTTACACTAGGGTCCACGAAAACGGACCACATATAGGTCCACATATAGGTCTGCTCAAAGTAAAGAAATAACTACAACTGTAGCCTATCTGACAAAGGAAATAAAAAGGCCAAAACATTTATCAGCACCATGGGAACTGGGTATCGTTGCATTTATTAGATGAAGTATGTTAGAGATCCCCATTACTGAGTGAAACAAAGGGCAATTCCAGGTCAGATAAGTTGAAAGCCATCCTAAGAAGCAGTACATACTCCGGGGCGCCTGGGTGGCGCAGTCGGTTAAGTGCCCAACTTCAGCCAGGTCACGATCTCGCAGTCCGTGAGTTCGAGCCCCGCGTCAGTCTCTGGGCTGATGGCTCAGAGCCTGGAGCCTGTTTCTGTTTCTGTGTCTCCCTCTCTCTCTGCCCCTCCCCCGTTCATGCTCTGTCTCTCTCTGTCCCCAAAATAAATAAACGTTGAAGAAAAAAAAAAAAAGCAGTACATACTCCAAAAAAGTGAAACAATCGGGGAAAAAAATATTTGCTGCAATCTACGTCTCTTGAACATATCTTTTGGAACATCTCTATGTGCCACGCTCTCTGCTCTCAAAGACCTTAAAATCTGGCAAAGAGGACTGAAACATTCACAGAGAATAAATCCAAGAAAGTGTGACTAGTGCAACAATAGTAGCATAATGTGGATGCTTTAGGAGCCCAGAGGAAGGGTGCTAAGACTGGGCAGGTGCACCAAGGAAAGCATTAGGGAAACATGGCATCAGTTTGAAGAATAAGTAGGAGTCTGCAGAAAAAAAGAGGAAACTCAGGAGCTGAGAGATGGCGGAGGAAAAGCACAGTATGTCCTGGGGCAGTATGATTCATTGTGACAGTAGAGCAGAACTAGAAGCCTGTCAGTACAAGGCGAGAAGTAGGCACAAAGAATCCTTACCTGTTGTATTAAGGAACCAGGTATGTCCCACCATAAAGGGCCATGCAAAATAAATTAGGTGACATCTTCCTAGGGAATTCCATATTCTCAATCATGCTCTCAATATTTGAAAATATAGGGAAACACAATTTACTAAATGGAGAACATGAATTATAGAGGATAGACAACACAGCCCCACTTTTGCTTCTAAATACACATACCTATATAACAGAGTAGCTTAAAAACTAATTAGTACTAGAATCGTTCCCTAAACCTATTTCACAAAAATTGGCTTCTAAAGGTCTATGGAAGAGGATTATTCCTAGGTCAGGAGAAGATGGAGGTTAGTTCCTAGATAAGAGAGGATCTAGGAGGAAACTGAAGTTTCCTCAAAGTCAGAGGAGAAGGTGAAGACCAGAGTGGGAAGGATGGAAGGGTAGAAAACAGTCCCTTTCTTGGCATTTTGTCCCTCCAGTGGGTAGCAAGATAGACACTCACTGTCAGTGGAAGGCAGTCCACCTGGGCCAGCACTGCCTAAGCAGATGAGGCACAAGTACATCTGAGTATCGTTGCTCAATGAGGAGCCATGACAAAAAAGACAATAACCCCACAGTCCAGTTCCCTGGCTCCTCCAGAGACTCAGGTTCCTGGATGATTCCGTGGAGAACAGAGGAAATCTCAGTTGATAGCCTCAGGTTAATGTTCCTTGCAGCTCCAATATGTGGGGACATGGGCCGTATTATATTCAACTCAAAATATGATTGAAGATCAGCTACAGGCTAAAGGTGTAATGATGAGCAAAACCAGGCAGAGCTTCTGCCCTGGTGGAGCAAACAGTATATTGCAGGAGACAGATATTAGTCAAATAGTCACAGAAACAAGTGTTAAATTGCATGGGTAGCAAGTGCTAAAGACATATAAGCGATGCTAAGAGTCCATAATCAGGGAAGCCGACCTTGTCTGGGGACTGAGGACCAGATCAAGGAAGGCCTCTCTGAGGAAGTGAAGCTTAAACTGAAATGGAATTAAGAGGGCAGAGAGAGAAGAGAAGAGTGAATCAGGCAGAGGAAACAGCATGACCCTGTGTGCAAGGGTGAGAGGAAGCAAACCAAGGAAAAGGCATTGGAAGAGGGTCAGTGGGATTGGCGTGCAACAGGCAAGGGAAGGAGAGTCATGGCTCCATTTCACACACAATGGGGGTGGGAACTAAAATTCTCACCTGCTAAAAATACATTTCTCAAAGTGGTTATCTCTGGCTAATGGAACTGCAAGTATTGTAAAAATGTTTCTTTGTAGTTCTATCTTCTGAAAATTTCTATGTTGAACATATGTTATTTTTATAATGGAGGGGGGAATCAATAAGGTATTAAAAATAAAGAAATGCAAACCACGTCTCCACAAATAAGATCACATGAAGCTATTTTCAACAAAGACTTCAAAACAGAAGAAAGTTACAGTGTAAAAAAATTAGTAAGTGGGCAGACTGAATTTAATTACCCCTAAGTTAAAATATGAAACGGGTGAAAACATTCAGTTTTCCTGCCTGGAAAAATATTGGTTTCATACAACATAAACAAAACAAAACACATGTAGTAGATGACAGCCGATTAAGCAGAGAAATAACATGTTTCCTTTTTGTTCACTTTCAACACTCATTTTAAGTTAGGTGGTCATAAGGAAGCTTTGCTCTGGACGCAGAACTGCTTCCAGACGCTGACCTGAGCCCCAGGCCCTGCTGCAAACACCTCGTGAGTAATCCTGGCCTCCTGACCCTAGGCAGCAATTACTGTCATTCAGGATCCCCTGCCGAGGGAGGCCTGGCCATCGAAGTGAGCTCCGTGCTAGCTGCTCTGCAAACCAGTTCTAACTTTCTGGACCAAGTGAACTTTAGATCACCTGATTAATGAGTGGAGATGAAAAGAGCTTTACATTTAGTGTTATTACGTGGTCTGTAGGCAGTTCTCACAGCAAGCCAAGAAAATTGATTTCTCTACAAAAGTACTATAACATAGATTATTTTTT